GGAATACTTACACCAAAACGGAATACATCCACCAAGTGCGAAATCGCAAGATTTTTTGGAAAACGTAAGAATTCTAAGGAATACGAACTCGCTGGTATGCATAGTGAATGTATGGAAATGAAAAAGTTATGATTAAGTTATGATTATGATTATAGCCATATGGATGGTGAATCTTAGATACCTGCCAAAAAAAATGTTTCTTTGTTGGTTAGTACATTTTACCGTTGATAGCAAAAGATGAAAGTACTAAATTAAGTATCCAACCAAGGTTTGACCCAGTATACCCAGTGGGGGTTTCCTAAAATCAAGGACCTCAAAATCATCATTGGGAAAACCAATGGTTTAGGGCAGCCATATTTTACGACACCCCCATACCCCCATGTATATAACTACATGTACCTATGATACTATGGTATCTATATCTAATTTGATAGCAATGTCTATGGCGGTTGATCTAAATTCGTTCATCTGCAAACGGCCAAATCTTTCCTTAAAACTGTGTGAGTGATCTGGGAGACAAGGGTAAGTACAAGGCCATGTTGGGATAATTCCACCAGGAAACAACAGTTTCATCGTTTCCAAGCCCCCTTGATGCTGCAAAGGTTTATGGTTCATGGCAGCCAACTGTGTGCTTCATTGGTTCATAAACAAACTTATAACGGGGGGGCACCACCTTCTGTGAACCTTGACTTCAATAAACACGTCTCAGATTTTCCCTAGCATGACCTATAGGATCTGTACCTTGATATGGCCAAATGTTGGTTGGTTTGTGTATTCATGTTGTATATTCATGTTCAGAAATGTGCAGTTCCACGGGCCCACGGGTCCAAACATGGCTTCTGTGTGGCACTGGTGACGACTGAGTGGGGACGTGATACAGGTGAAGCCAATGACTTTTTCAAGTCCCCAAAATGCTCAAAACTATGCGGATGAATGGGGATTTATGACTGGTTGGTGGTTTAATCGCCTCTGAAAATATGAAAGTCAGTTGGGATGATTCTTCTCAATATATGGAAAAATAAAAGCCATGTTCCAAACCACCAACCGGATAATGTATGGGATTATGGGAATATAATGGGGATTGATGATGCTTCCCATTGCTCCCTCCGATCAACCCTCCGGGCCCCTATCTCCATCAATCGGACCCCACAGTTTTAAGCCGGGATGTCATCAATTCACTTGAGTGGAAATTGAGCACCCCTCAAAATTGAGATGATTATATACATTAAAATTATGCGAATATTGTACCAACACATGATGCAACCCTGTGGCTCTCGGGTTAAGTCTTGATTCCATAATTCCATCTCCAAGGCCGGGTGACAACTGCAGCTACTCTCTGCAGGAAGGTGTCTACCTATCCATTGGTGGATCTTGGGACGGAGCTTGAAGGGAATAGGATAGCCGACCCCTCTGTGGATTCAACATAGCTATGGAGAATCACCGATTTCTGAAAATTGGGCTAACCATAAAATCAACGGGCCATCTATACCATAGTCATGTTGAGTTACCAAAGGGTAAGCCTCAATAATCTAGATTTTCATGCTCAATCCCTATATATATATATGTATATATATATAGCTGGTAAAATCATCATTTTGGATGGTGACATATTTACTTTTGGAATGGTACTCTGGGGTACACTAACATAGATGTGTAAAATCCACTAATCTATGTGTGGATTGTTCTCCTAAGGAAACCATGGGTTTTCCACATCTATGTTAGTGTACCTTAGGGTATCTGACTTTTTGCCCCACCTTCTCGTTCACTGCGTCCGAAGCCGAATTCAACGGGCGCGCGACAAGCGCCTAGGGGAAGATCGATGGGATGGATGAATAGAAAGACTTTAGATACACATACTACTGTAAGTACTACTAAATTATCTATACAAATTTTGGTTGGCATTCATTTCGGGGCACCGGTAGGAAGTTTTGAGAATGTCTGAACTCACCATCAACACGCAGCTGGCTGGTTCTGCCAGGGATGGGGGCTATGAACGATCAAGGGACATCAACAACCGTAACACGGGGAGATCCATCTGAGATTCAGTGGCCAACTCACCGAACTAAGCGTCTTGGGGTTTGAGCACAATGCCCCGCCCATCTTGCCTCAAACTTGTCTTGTGGGCTGGTGGACTGCGAAGCGCCGCGCAGTGGTTTGGATGTGGAGAAAACAACTCTGCAGCTTCAGGGATAGGGAGGATGACCAGCAGCATTTTTGTAAATGACACTTATTACTGAATAGTGATGATATGTGATGATCATTGATCAACCATGGTGGGTTAATCCTCTGTTGGGTCCTTGTATGTGGCAAGCACCCCATGCATTCGATCAGTGAGGCTCCATTGGCTGTTGAAAAACCACCTAAGATGAGTTATACGTCCCTGTCTAATCACCGCTTCAAGTTGTCTTCAAGACGCCAATATTAGCAAATCTCTATATATATAATATGCATATATATATATATATATAAGGACAGGATTTTTCAAATTTGCCGCAGAAAGAGGCTTTTTGCATCAAACATAGTTGCCTTTTGAAATCCAGTTTTTCCATGGAACCACTTCTCCAGCTGTTGGAGAAGCAAGTGCGTTCTGTCGTTGGTAGCGGTCGCATCTTAATCTTGGAGAGTTTAGGAAGTAGCTAATCTTGGAGAGTGTAGCTGTCTTAATCTTAATCCTACCTATTTTTTAGATAGTTGTTGGATGTAATTCCAATGATTGGGTAATCGTAAAATGGAACATTTAGGGTTTGCCTGACAATAGATTAAAAATGTTTAAAGCCTAATGGTCAATCAACATTTTCCTGATTCAAGAATCACATAGAATTACATTAATTTCATGTTTTGGGTATGTATCTCCAATTTTTGGACAAATCCACATCCACTTCATGGGTAAAACAATGTTCAAATCCCACTGAATCGCCTGGCAAATTCCCTTGGAAGACATCCTGCACCAGTTGATAGGTCCGGTACATATGTTCTAGGGATATTCCCTTACATAGGCCTTATATTACTTGTAGGTACCTCCAATGAATCGGTTCCTGAAATGGCCATTGATTAGGGTTTCAACCATCCTTGTGGTGCAGGATTTTGCAATCATCCACTGTGGACTGGCTCCTGCATCCAGGTCTTCAAGTTCAGTGGTGGTGGCTCTTCATTGAATGCAGTCACCTGAGGTCTCCATGATCTTAGATTTCAGAAATGTAGTTGGTTGGTATAATGGAATACACTAATACATAATATCTAGTCTAGAGTCTAGTACATTAAATATTGTATATCTTGATGAAATTAGTACACGTTGTTATATATATCATCTATATTATATATAATTATATACATACAGGTGCACAGTGTGGTTTACCCAAATGAACATCCGTATTTCTTCAGATTGGGCAGCTGGGCGTAATACATTCAAGTACGGATCTCATTGCGGGCCCCAGGAAATAGCGCATGTTTTAATATCTTGAAGGATTGCAGGGATCCCCAAGGGTTCTGAAAAAGATGCCAAACAGTATTTCCAGGATGTCATGGATGATGGTTCCCACAATCTCCAGCTTTCCAACTGTTCTACATATTTGGTGGGTGCTATAGATGAGATGCACTACTTTCAAGATGCGAGCAAGAGCATGTGGCATATTGGAGTACAATTCTCTCAACTGCTAACTGCTGACCCTTCTGGTGTCACATTTCCAACAATCTAAACCCATATGCAAGTGTCTCCAGTGAAGGGAAGTCAAACATGTACTCCACATGACTATCAAATGCATTTTGAAAAGCTAAAGTGGATTCTTAGGAGAGCTAGAGTGCCCAATGGTGCAAAGGATGATATCAGGTTTGTGCACTCTATATCTGGATAACTCATGATCAATCCCACTTCTTGTCCAGGATGCTTTCACCGAAATTACCCTCCAGAGAATTAAGATATGGAAATTTTCCATAGATCTGAATTTCCAATCCGTTAATTTCCCAACATCTTGATTTCCACATTGGAAGCTACGTCATTTTAGAGGAGAACCCCCAATGAAAAACCCATGGATTTCGAGGGGTCATCCTGTCTCCATGGGTTCCCTGGCTGCCACCAAGAGCAAATAACAAAGACGCATGGCCATCCACCTCCCAGGAGAAGCAGCTGATTTCATGCTGATTTCATGGTGATTTTCAACCATCAAAAATTGTGTCTTAAGCAACATGGTGATTTTCATGGTAACAAACAATTCATGGTGATTTAACCATGTTTTTCAGCAACAACAAATGGTGATTTTCATGATGATTTCATGGGATCTAACTGGGGATGTCACCAACAGAATTTTGGTGATTTGATGAAATTTAATGCAACTGATCATTTTTCCGGGCTTGGTAAGTGTCCTGATTAAAATCCACATCACTCAACAAACCGGGATGTCATGGTGTCATCTCCGGTAGGGCTTTTGATGTTCAAAATCAACCTCTTTTTTAGCCCAAGCCAGCCTGCTTGGGTACAGTTTTGCAAGGTGTGTATGGTTCATGGTTTTGACTCACAATATCAACATATATATATATATATACATAATCGTGTATATATATATATACATATATAATCATACATATATATATAATATAAACATGTTATTCTCTCCAGCAATGAAACATGGCCAGCCGGGAAATCCTCTTAGTAAATGGGCATTCAAATGGGACGATCACCGATGCCATCGCTGCGCCATGCTGCGCCTGTGGACAGATCTGCCCATCGCTGTTCACTTCGATGCGAAAAGAATCTTGGAACTTGGAACCAAACGGCCAGGCGTCATGGCATGGATGGCATGGATGGCACGGCTATGGCTATGGACTATGGCACTTGTGCGGCACTTAAAAATGTGGTACACCAAGCGGCTCACCTAGGGACCCAAAGTTCCCAAAGCCATCCTTTTTAGGGGCGCAACAACCTGTTGATCCAAGGTCAACTAAAAGAGTCATGACTTTGTCAGTGGCCAAAGAAGTTCCTGCCCAGGGTACAACCAAAAACTGGATCAAAGAGGCCTGTCTTCCTTCAAGGAGTCGATGTAGCGCTTGTCGACATTCTTCTGATTGATGCGACCACAGCGTTCCATCAACTGAGCGAAGGCAAAACGACCGCTGACTGCGCAATGGCTTGGCGTTCAACGCACTGTGATGTGTATCTTTTTGCAGGTTGAACAAATGGCTGAGTGCTAACTCTTGCAATCTGCTTGCGGACTTGCTTCCATGATCAAGATTGATCAAGTGCGTCAAACGTGCGCAAATCGATGTGATTTGTTCTATTTCTATGATATTATTGCATGAAGTGAGAAGAGGCTAATGGCATTGGGTTAGCTACATAGAATGATCAAACAATCACCTTCCATATTCACATTTCCATCTAATCATATCATGCAAGGAACACTGTAAATAGTTGTGTAATTAAACAAGTATGCCAGTTAAACCACCATATGTTCAAATTTCCACCCAACAATGAGACAACTTGTGGACGTATAGCCGCAACATCACTATATAAATATTCAATGAACATCCAGGCAATTTCCCCGCCACATATTCCACCCATTCGCCAAAAAATAAGGCCCAGCCACATCTTCCAGAAGCTCCGTGAAGACATTGAAGCGCCGAATGTCGATCTGTTCCTGGCAGGGGAAAAAAGGGGATTTTTCGTGGTTGTTGATCTCATGTAATCATTGGTATCTTAATATAATAGATGATCTAATATAATGATAATAAATGGTATCTAATACTCTTAAGAGTGGTATCTAATATAAGTGATGATATAGCTATAATCATTATAATCCATCTAATATTAGTAGATTATCTAATTATTCAGCTAATATAATGACATGTAATGACATGGTATAACAATTTGAATCACCTGTACGTATATTATACATATATATATACCAAGATTTAAGCCGGTAGATATACCATACCATGGAGCGGATGGGAATGATGAATATGGCAACCCAATCTTTTAACAATGATTCAACATGATTCTGGGCATTTTCTTAAAGAACAAACTACAAAGTTTGGTGCTACTGGATTGATTCTCCTTACAATCACTATCCGCAAAGATATAGCTGAGGTATCTAAAATTCATCCAGCGACCTGATTAAAAATGCCGAGCTGAAGCTGATTCTGGGCTCAACTAGATGGATATCACCCAGAAATCTCATTAAATATCCAACTAGATATAGTGATATCAACTATTGAATTATTTCTATCCAATACTGATATTGATATCTCAGTTAATATCTCATTTATGATTCTGAAATATGGGATATGTGGCTAAGATCATATGATATATGAAAAATCCTCTCAATATGGGCCAGAAAAGTTAACCCACCGAAACACACAACATGCCTGTTGAATCCCCATAGATTTCTTTTCTTATTCACCATAATAACATCTTACAAATCAGCACTTGTGTTAAATATAAATTCCCACCCATAGTAAATTATATATTATACATATATATATATATATTAAATACATATATGTATATATAATATATATATTATTATATATATTATTATATATATACCTTTTCCAGTATGTTATGTATCATTATTGTATATAGATCCCCATTTGAAAAATGGCTAACTCATCACCAAGGCACTGCATGCGCTTGCCCCAGGGCTACTGGATGGACACCCACCTGGAGACAGCGATTCAACCCCACGGAAAACTAGGGATTTACCAGCATTATACAGACAAAAAAAAGATTTAACCGTGGGAAAATTGGGAAGTAAGTTATTAGTTCCCCATTCAAAATTGGGATTTCACAGTTCACAGGGTTTAATTACCAAATGTGATAATCAATGGATTAGTTGGGTTGCGTTTCCCGAAAACGACCGGAAATCCATGGTTTTCAGCACTGAGATGCACCAAATATATCCAAATATGAAGGTTTCCTAAAATAGGGGTACCCAAAAATGGATGGTTGGTAATTAATGGAATATCCTATGAAAATGGATGATTCTGAGGTACTTCCATTTTAAGAAGCCTCCATATGGTGTTTTCCTGTGACCTGTCCCTGAAAGATCCTTAAACAACTTCTGGGGCAGACCATCGGTCAGTGCATGTCCTGATAGTGGAAACTAGTGCCGTGGGTGTGTAAAAAACATTCAGAATATTCAATTTTATAAGTATTGCATTTGTTCATAGGGAACATGATGGTGAACTGATCAACCATCATTATTTGGGGCAACCCTAATCTCAAACAAACCCAACTAGAATCTATCCGGAACATCTATGATAATGGGGTGCCTTCTCTTTTCATCCACCAAGTAGTGGGAAAAGGACATTGGGGACGTCTATGACAACAACATTCAGCTTCTGTTCCAGCTAAGGAGTCATCATCAGATGGCATCCTCATGCGAAGAGGTGTCTCCGGTATCAAATTCATATGCAAAGCTTGTCCAAGGCCGACTGATGTAGGAATAAAGATTGAATGCCTTGCTTCTGGGGAGTCTTGAGTATTGTGAGTGGGAAGGCATGACAGAAAAAGACATGCCCAATCGACGCTCAACGAATCTGACCTGGAAAGCGTAGACCGGACAATAGCCATAACCTGGCTGGTCTGCTGGACAACACACACTGAAAAAGAATGGAAAACCTCTGTAAGCAGCAGGATGAACAAATGAGTTTGTATATCATCATTGTCCATATCCAATTTGTTACAGAAAAATATTATTGTGATTATATCATTTTTGTTATATTAATATGTAGTTATATTCTGTTATACATATATATATATATACATATATATATATATATATATATATTCATTTGTATAAGACATATTTGGGGGATATAGCCATGATATAGCCCATTTTCAGAGCCAGATCGGATGTTCCGCAGCTGGCCCTCTGAGTCTCCTGCGCTTTTCGACTTCAGCATGAACGATATCCTCCACGACCGCTGGTACAACCGGGGAACCACTGGGGCACTAGGCAAACACAATATGCACTGAATCTGCAGTTATGAAACCAGTGGACAGCAAAAGGCATATATCTATATTATATACATCAAAGGGATGTTTTCATAATGTGTATATGTATATATAGACATATATATATATATATAATTATATATGTGTATACATACACATCTATACACACACTACGCCTTCATATCATTGATGACATAGCCACACATGATTTGTCCATCAGTACTGTGTTTAGGATAATTGTACATGCAGGTGCATACATATACAATTGTATTTGCAGTATGTAGATTCAACAATCAGTAAGCATCAGTAAACTGTGAACAATTTCGAACTACCCTCTGGCTATTTAACATAGCCATGGTATAGATGGTCCATTTATAGATGGTTTACCTATTACAAATGGGTGGATCTTTCCATGGCTAACTGTTAGTCATAACCAGATGGTAATGATTGATGTTAAATAAACATGTTCCATATATATATATATATAGATATCTCTCCAAATCATTAATATATATCTACCGTTATTGATGTGGATAACCATGAAAAATGGTTATTTCACCCATAAAGACATGGCCTTCACCATGCAAAAATATGGGATATGTGGAATCCACAACGGATTCCGTCCTTGGGGATCACAGGACCAAGTCCTGCCGACCGTATTCGACCCCGGAGCAAGGGCAACACAGCGCGCGCATCGTTCGCAGACGGATTGATGGATATAGTTTATAGTGTATGATATATATATAGTTCATCCATGTTCATCCATGTTCATCCATGTTCATCCATGTTCATCCATGTTCATCCATGTTCATCCATGTTCATCCATGTTCATCCAAGTACGGGACTTAGGATGATAATGTATGATATAGTTCATCCATGTTGTGCTTTTATTATAGTAGTTCAATAAACCCCAGTTCATAATATATCATCTATAGTATATTATAGTATATTATAGTATGATATAGTTCATCCATGTTCATCCAAATACGGGACTTAGGCTTAAGCCAACTTCCATTTTTGTTGGCAAGTTGGTCGATGTCTATAGACACCATCAACCAGTTCGATATATCGAAACCATCGACTTCGCCGCAGCCAACGCAACGTAGCCGCCGCCTCCATGTACGATGACAATCCGCAGTCGCGCAAAGTCTCCGACCTGGGACAAGTCCGCAGTGGCAGCAGTTGGAATCCCATGGTACCTCCTATTGGAAATGGCAATATTACTGGGAAATGACATGGGGTTTTCCATGGTACCCTCAAAAATGGTTGGTTTCGAAAATCTATCTATAAATGGATGATTTGGAGGTATCCCGATTTGGGAAATCCCCATATCTTCACCATCAAATTTTGGTAACCCTTTTTTCAGAGAAACTCATCGAAAAATGACATCCAGCTGAGGATCCATCACGTTCAATTTCTTCCATCAGCATGTCGAACTGACTCACACCTCGAAGAGGAAAGGTTTCCATGACAATGTCGCGTTGTACATCCCTCTGGTAAACATCACCATAACTATGGAAAAAGACACCATTTTTCATGGGTCAATCCACTATAAATGGCCATTTTCAATAGCTATGTTAAGTTACCAGAGGGTAAGTTCATAGCAACATTGGTCCAGCAGCTTCTTTGAAGGCCGACACACCTACCTGCTTCCCGATTTTCTTGACTATTACTTGGCTACCTCTGCATATGTTCATTCCTAACTGGTTCTGTTCTCCTCTGTCTGTCCAGACGCCTCACTCTCTTGTACACATTATTGCTTGATATTGCTTGCAATATCATCCCTTTCAATTCTATGCTGTTTGATGTTTTTTGTTGTGCTTGTCAGCCGTGCATGTTGCATGGCAGTTGTGTAAGAGACAGCAACATCTCAACAGGCAATAAACGGAGCAAGTCCATTGAAATCCAACTGCTTGGTGGTTGAGTCACCACCTGAGGTATGTTCATCACAGTTTTGGGGACAGAGAACATCCAACATCCTTCATTCACCACCCAGTAGTACAGTACTTCACTAGCTGGTTGCATACCATAATATCGCATTTTAGAAGGTCAAATCCAGAAAGATGTTGTTGAACATGATCCCAAATAGGCTTACATATCCTTTGCATCCCATAATATATATGTATATATCAAATCAATATACATATATATATATAGTATCATCAAACAGTATAATATATCCCAGAACAACAAATATCAATTTACCAACCTCAAAATGCTTGATGATTTGGGGTTGATCTCTCTCTTTACCACCCACAAAACGACAAACGACAAACGACAAACGTCAATGACACGGGCGACTTCTGGGATCCAAACTCTTGGTCTTTAAAATGATGGGCACCACGCGGGCCTCACTGTCTGGGGAGGTATTCAAAACCACAAAGCGGGTTGATTGTTGGGTTATGTTGAGTTTACCACATGACATACCATCTTATCTTGTACTTTTCCAACAGCAAACAGACTTGGTTTTCTGTTATATAGTCACGGAAAAGGGTCTAAGATCTCGTCTTCGTGCAGTCAAGTGGTAGTGATGTCAACTCCGCAAGACATGGCAAGCACGAAGTCATTCAGTCATAAATACATATGGTTTACCCTAGGCGGCATTTTGGGAGCCTCGACTTGTGACACTTCAGGTTTGTACATCTTAATCTTGTCAAACTGTGAAGGGATTGGCCTTGAACTTGAGGGGAAACAATCGATCTCATGTCTCACCCCAACCCAAAGCCATTGTAATCTTTACGAGTTTTTCCACATTGAACCCAGTCTTTAGGGGTCAAACTTGGATTCTCAATCAAGGTATGTACATATATGCACACCATACAATACCACAAACAAATAATTTATTAATGATAAATTATACAACTATACACCAAACCATCGCATTTATTGGGGTCATCGTCCCACATATGGATAACTTCCTCTATACTATCTGTAGTGATGATCTGAAAGTCTGTACCTGTAGTTTGAGCTGAGGTTCTGGGGGTACCACATGTCGATTTTTCTCAGGTAGATATTATGATCATATATATATATATACACATTGATTTACATAATAATAACAATAATAATAATAATGATAATAATAATGGTAATAACTATATTTAAAAAAAGAAAAATAATAATAACAATAATAACAATAATAATAAGAATGATAGTAAAATAATAATAGTGATAATAATGATAATGATGATAATAATAATGATAATAATAATGATAATAATAATGATAATACATAATAATAATAATGATAATACATAATAATTATAATAATAATAATATTATAATAATATATATATACATCAAATGAATGATAAACATACATCAACATACATCAGCAATATGTACAGCAAACTGTACACTTGCGGACTTCTCTGTAAAATAGGGTAACCCAAATGTTGAAGGTTTATCATCATCATTTTCGCCATCTGAGCAGTGTTTAATAAGCCATGTGTCGTGCATTTACTGGCTGGTTATTCATGGAGTGTGATAATCCCCAGTCAATATTGGATACTAAAAACCCCATATGATCATCAATCAACCATCCTTTATCAATTACATCCGTCCCCATATTTTGATGATTAACATATTAACAGTCCTATAATAATTAGCAATGATCATCAATCAACCAGGGTTTTTGACTAGTGCTGATTTAAATATGACAATTTGGGGGTGCCCTCACCCACCGCCTTCGGTGGCAGTGGCTCAATCGCTTCCTCGCCTATACCATAAGGATGACACAGGCAGGAAAAAAACCATGGTACCCTAAGTACCCAAAAATGAATGGATGGTTAATGATGGTTATTCCCCCAAATATGGTACGTTCAGGGGATTTCAGACTCAACGATCATTTAAGGATTTCATGGGAATTAACCGCGACTCAGGAGAACCAATCACGGATTGTCGTTCAACAGACCAATTTAAGGGATTGATGTAACCATCACACATACGCATCTAAGCAATGAATGATGGACTTGGGTGTGTCTGAAAATAGGGTATGCCTCAACAATGCCAGTGTTCATAGGCAAAATACGAAGACCAACGAATGGATTTGTGTGTGTACGGTACATACCCTATTGTTGGACAAAGCCACGTCATCCACTATCACGTCTAAATGATGACATTCTGCTGTGTTTCCCCATCATATGAAATCAAATCATGGAAATTCCAATCAGTCCAGTATTTCACCATGAAAACTTGGGCAGTTGTATAAAACCCATTCCATTTTTAGGAAGTAAAGGCAGCTCGTAGAGCTGGCAGAATCATTCTCTCAGCCTCATGTGCCGTGGTCAAGTTACGTGGATCATTGGATAAATGTGGATAAAGGAGGTATGGTCATCCCACCATCATGAATGGGATTGGCTACAGTATCTTGACATATCTTGACCATCTTACCCTCAACCCCTATGTCTATTCCGGGAAGTATAATCCCTGAACTTACAGGAACACACGATAAGATATATGTTTTGACATGGTCACATATGCTCCACATATAGGGATAACAGAAGAAACACGAGCTACATGTGGATCCTTGGATCAAAGACAAGGAGAAGCTTTCCCGCCTTCACTGAGACTTTCGTCTTCAATCTCTTCTGCCTCAGCCGGGCTGCACGGCTCGGCTTTGGGTATGGGTCAATACCATGCATCTTGCTGGGAAAAAATATCTATGGTAATGATGTGTCTGGGTCAAAAATCACGAATTCCCCAACAAATCCGACAATCCCAAAAACATGGATGGTTTGATATTCTGTTTGGTGGTTGACCTACCCCTCTGAAAAATATGAAAGACAGTTGGGATGATTCTTCCCAATATATATATATATATGAAAAAATAAAAAATGTTCCAAACCACCAACCAGTATTACCGTATAGCCATGACAGTACACTTTTTTTCCATTACCCATCCATGTTGGTCACCCATTTTCAAGCGCCTTCAACTGCTCCTCATCGTCAACCTGGAAGTATCGAAGTTCGGGAAAGCGAGGGATTTTCGGAATCCCATCCCATCTGATGTTACTACGGGGATTGATCATCAAACATGGCGGCTTGACCATCACAAAGAATTGTTGTCGGATATGTTTGGCATAATGCATAGGGATATCATCCAGAAATTGAGGAGGTTTAACTTTAAACCATCAAGAATGGGGGTTTATTGTGGGTTTAACAGCCAATATAATGCATTAAATGCTCTCAATATGGGGCCCGAAAATCAACAAATACTGGACTAAACCAGGGTTTCTGGGGGTATCAAAAAAATGGGGGAACGGATTTGCTGCTTAGCCCATCCCTTTTTTGTTTATGGCCGGTTTGGACGTATAAGGTGGGTTGTAATTCCTCCAAGAACAAGGGACATCCACAAATGGAGCAGCCAGCTGCCGCAAATGAAAGCCATCTATATTGATGTCTTTACGCTATATGTCTAGTTGCGGCTTCGATTTGTTGCTGACTCAGTTCTTGTGGAACCATTTATGAGTAGGGGCCTATCATTGGAATAGGCCATCGTTTTGAATTAAACACTTGAGGTAGCCCTTGCTGCCCAATTTCCAGTCGCAAGCTTTTGTTCCAGCACGGTTTGGACACAGTGTGCACAATCCACAGCCTTTTGTCCGTCAAGCGGAGTTTCTCGAAAAAGTCCATGCTTACAGCGATAGTATGAAGTGGTATACGGTCCTGGTACTCTAGATCCAATGGATCCACCTAAAAGAATCGTCCCATCTGCAGGCTCAACTGGCTGAAGGTCCTCCGAGATACTTCTGCCAAGCCTGGCAGATTGGCACTTGTCATCTGAGCCATCTCCTTGTCAACAGTCCATGAAAAACCTCCGCAAGCCGAAAAGAGGCACCAGTTGGGTTTGGTTTCTACAACAGCTTGATGAGCAGGAATCTTTGCGGACCACGGCCCATCCAATCCGAAGTGATTTCAAAGCCATTCTTCTGATAGAATCCTTGAATCTTCTGATTCGTGGACACAAAACAAATCAGTAACCTTCCAAGTAGATTCCCCAAATATACCGGATTTCCAAAAGGGAAAATAAAGGATCTCTTCCCCCTCGCGACACCTCCTCAAGACACTATCTTAGTGGTGGATGTGTTCTATGTTCAAGTCTTACATATCGGATTCCTCATGTTGGGATCGGGATTGCACAATTTCTTACTTATCTGGGTAAATTATAATATTTCACTAACTTGAATTAAGGCCATTTGGGGATGATTTCCCTTATAAACCACGATTTCCAGTGAGGTCGTAGTGAGGTCGTTATAATTTACCCAGACTTATTATATAGCAGGGTAGAAAGATATGTTCCAACATCATCTAAAAAATAACACTCAAACTTAACCCCCCTGCTGTTTCTGCGGAAATTGGAGGCCACGGTTTGTTGCAAGAATCGCAAGGGCTGCCAGTCATCCCGCTGCACGTGCAAGGTGAGGATCTTTAATCCCCAGCTCCTGTCGTTGCTGAATTTTTCGTCCAATCCTAACATGTTGATTTGTGTCCCTTGATGTTTTTTGTTTAAATACGGGTCTTTGCACAGCGTGAAATTTCGGCACATACATACATATATATATATATACATGATATACATATATACATATATATATACATATATACATATATATATATATATATATATGGCCAATCCATTTTAATGGAAAATTCATCGATGGAGAAATCTCTTGGGGATCAGCGTCCGAATCACTGTGGACAGGTCCATTCGTATTTCAAATTGACCCATGTCTGATGCTTAAATCCACGGTTTCGGTCCAATCTTTCGTGGTCCAATCAATGTGTAAATCGAATTAAACATCAAGATTGGTGGCTGGTTGAATCAATTGAGTGTATCCCATCAATATCCGATTAAAATCCCTAAATTCGACTGTTTATATTATAATCTGTGAGATGCTTATGCTATTTATCATGGTTTCTCATCTGTATTGAGTTTACTAGATTATAATATCAGAAACCCATTTATAAACCCGTTGTTGAGTTGTACTAAAAGTAGTTATAACCCCCAGGGACATACATATTAATTCTAGTATAAGCTGAGGGAAAAAAATATGTTCTAGCATCTATGATAGTATGTAAAAGTGCAACAACCATTGGCTATATCCCCAGTAAAACTCTTACTACCTATGTAGTTATCATCGTTTGGGAATATATATATATATTCCTGAAATAGTACCTATGAGTTATATCATGTTATATCATGAAATTATACCCCTAAAACCAGTTCTATCATAGCAGTCATATCATCATTTTTTCCCTGAAAAAATATAGTAGCAACTATTAAGATCTATTAGTTATATCCCTTAAAAGAAATGTTAGTTAATATCACTAAGTCTATATAGTTACCCTCTGATAAACATCACCATAACTATGGAAAATCACATTTTTTGATGGCTAGATCCACTATTTGCAATAGCTATGTTAGTGTACCAGAGGGTAAATCCCATTAGATCCCATTAAACCACCATATTATGTAAACCCATGAAACCACCATAAATCCCATTAAATCCCATTAAATTCATTAAATCCCATTAAATCCCATCATGTTTTCCCCTAAAAGAGAGAAACTTCCCCGCCGGGTCCTGGCCAAGTCTTCCGCCTCGCGTAGCATCTTCTGCGCCAGGCCGGAGCCACGCCAGGCCTCGCTGATGGCGAACTGCTCCAGGTAGGCCACCTGGAAAACTGCCGACTTATGGTCGTCTTCATAGATGTATAAAGTATGTAAAACAAATGGCAAAAAAACATGTAATGAGTAACATACATAATATGTATACATATATATATATACATAATATATATATAGTATGTATATATACGTATATAATATATATATATATATGTTATATTATATTATATATATTATAGATATATTGTATACTATATATATATTATAGATATATCATATATAGATATATTATATACTATATATATATTATAGAAATATTATATATAGACATAGATATTATTGAACGTATTATTCTTAGGACATCTGAATATACAACACAAAAATATGCACAAGAAAACTAGTTTGTATGTTGAATTTTCAAAAGGATGCATAGGGCATGCGAATATGACAATTGTGGTAAACACAAAATAATTTCGAAATTCAGACCGAAAAAACATTGAAATACTGTGTCGTATTGTTAGTTTGATATTTATCCACATGAGGATTGTTTTCGCCTAGACAATGTGGACATTGACTAATTTAAACAGCCGGTTTGATTTGTTTTGCATATTTTGACTGCACTTATTTAACCATCAAACAAAAACACATCACCAATGATGGATGCGAGTTTGTCCAAACCATGCAGGGTACCACAAAATAAATGTCCGTTTCAACAAGGAAAAACTAATGTCATCTTTGGACAAACCCACAGGGGTATACGATCTCTATGTATGTATGTATGTATGTCTGTCTGTCTGTCTGTCTGTCTGTCTGTATGTATGTATGTATGCATGGATGTATGGATGTATGTATGTATGTATGTATGTATGTATGTATATGGGGGGTTCCTAAAATGGTGGTACCCCAAGTCACCATGGGTTTCAATACTGAGTCATGGTCTAATGGCTTGGATGATTTGGGGTACCCCAATTTTGGCAAACCCCCTTTTTTTGTATGTGTGTGAATCATAAGGACATAGGATAACCATGGATAACCGTCAATCGAATCAAGTCTTCAGGACAAACATACGTAAAACCGCAGATAGGCCACAGCTTCAAGGCCCAGGGCCGCTTCACACACGCGCGAAAAGGGCACACTTCGCACCACCCTTTCGCCAGGTTCATCCTGATCAATGGGAAGTCCGGCGGAAGATGTCTGGTGGGGATCAATGGCAAGTGTTTAGATACGATTTGTTTCACACCATCAACCAACTGTTTGAAAAGCTAGCTGGATGGTAAGATGATAGGATTTCATGATTCACCTGAATTCCGCTGGTTTTGTCTTGCTGTTACCGCTCAAAAATGAGGCAACAAAGGAACCACTGGCCATTGTTTATCTCTTCAAAAATTAGAAGAGCCCCTTGATTATCTATGCTATTTGAGGGAAAGGGGCAAATGAAGGCAGTGCACTATCATCATTCATTAATTTTTTGATGGCTACTAATCATGATTTTCCATGATTTTCCATGAGTTTCCATGATTTTCCATGATTTTCCTATGGTGTAGGAGCTTTACTGTACCCCCTTGTTCAACAAGCCCTTTCACAACACACGGCTGACCACGGCTGCTGGGTTTTTCACCTTGGCGCCCATGGCGACTGAAACTGGATGTTCCAACACCAAAAGCAAATGGTAGATGTCACTAATGTTAAAACAAGTACAATATCACACAGAAATTTATCAATATAATATGTATATATGTATATACATATAGCTATATATATATATAATAATTAATAACAGTATATTCATATATCCAGTATGTATGTGTTCACCCATTTACTAACCATCAATCCGAATCTCCATTGGTTCATCCCAGTAACAAATCAAATGTTTAAGATGGTTAGCTCCCAGTTCTTCTGTTTTACCGGTCCTGAATATACTCTACAAAGGTGGTTGATATATATATATATATACACATATATACAATTATATACACATATACATGCACAAATATTATATATATACATACATTACATGTATATATCAACACATATAGAATACTCCTATCAAAGTGACAAAAATCAAGTCGTGCGAAACTACCGATCCGAGTCAATTCTCGCCGTATTCTTGATGTAAATCAAAACCAAACATCATTTCTCGGTGATATCAGCATATTTTTGATGTTAACCTCCAAATATATGCATCCATCACAAGTGATTAACCCCGTTTTTGACTGTTGACCCCCTATTTGTTTGATGTTCCATTTGTTGAGTCATCCACTTTATTTGCTGGTTCACCCAGTTAGGGAGTAGGTTACAACCCCGATTAGGGGCGAATCGAAAAAAGTGGCGACCTCCAGTGCTGTTGGTGTAAGAATCCCATGACTAGTTCGATATCTCTACCCGTCGGACCATAGTTTTAGTAGCTACCAACTTCACTGACATCAATCCCCTATCCATAACCTGTACATCCCCATTTCTACTCAATAAAACACCATAATTTTTGCTTTTTCACCATAATATCCCATAATTATCTCACTGGAAAACACGTGTCTCCAGCCTCTCTGATGTGACAGCTTTGGGGCAGCCACTTCACACGTAGTGCCAGCGTCCCAAGCAGGAGCTCTGTCGCTCCCGCGCCGGTCTCGGTGACCTGGTCGAAGAATTGCATGTGAACGCTTTCTTTGTAGAATCTCATTGGATCATCACCTTTGTTTCACACTGTTTGAGGAATATTATTTTTCTACTCGAATTTCGAACATCACCAACATCACCAACCAGCGACCCAACCAACTCAGCTCAGGCACCGCAAGCAGCACGCCACCATAGGAGTCCAACATCTCATCACAGGCTCGCACCACTTCATCCTCCGAGTCTGGCAGCTCTTTCCGGCTGAAGATGGGATCGATAGCTATCGGGCGATTTGCCATACCTGGCTCGTTGCAGTCAAAGGATTGGGGGGTTGGGGACGTCTACAATGTGGGGCCCCCCCAGTTATAAGTTGGTTTATAAATCCCATTTACTATAGTTATAAGTATCATAAACCATAGTTATTGGAGTTATGTTCACCAACTTAGCTATCGAACGGGGGCCCCACATTGTAGAGGTATGGAGGACAAAATTAGGCTACAAAAATGGGTGCCTAAGCATGGTATGTACTCCCAGATTGGCAATTGAAACAAGGAAAATGATGATGAACCAGCGGATGATCTTCCAGTCATCAGCTTTTCCCACGAGAATGGCAACTTAGTTGGTCAATCCCCCGTTTTTGGACAAACCCTAGTAATGACTGTTAGACATGAATTTCCTATTATATGGCAGTGTGTCAAAACCTTGTACCCCTGGTGAACATCAAAATAGCTGGTAAATGGATGTTCATCCCCCTAAAAATGGTATTAATAGGTATTGATCCATACCCATATATAATACTGTAATATCTTGTAGTCATTTCTAGTCCATAAATCGAGCTGGAGCATTGTCATCTCACCTTTCTTGGGAGAATCACAGAAAAATCCCGAAGCATGTGATTGAGGCCGGGGTTGGATGGGCGCATATCCCCCTTGAAACCACTTGCTTGGTTACCCCACCACCAACCATCAACCATCATTTTGCAGCTTGTATCCCTCCTAATTGCTGTTTAACTTCTTCTTTTCCATGATTAGTCTATTGATGTTACTACCTAATAGACTAATCATGGAAAATTAGTCTAGGTATTTAACATCTATTGATAGCGTCTTTCTTTTCGGTTCCTACCCCCTGAGAAACTAACAGTTCGATGTGGAAAATCCACATCCAGATCATTTTCCTAGGCTAAAAAACCGATGGGATTTTTCGACGAATCTATGTTAGCCCGGCTGGGTATCACTTTAATATTAACCAACTTAGACAACCAACCGTTTGACTAACTAAAGGTGTATATGTTATCCCTACTAGTAGGATACACTTTAATGATCTTTAATGTATATACCATGTATCCTATACGTACCCTATATGACCTATATGTAACTTTACGACAACGTGACCTGCTCGCCTCACCTGGGATCAATCCACTGCTTCTCCGCCAATCCAGAAAGGCCTGCGGAAACTCCAACAACCTGGGCGACGAAAGGAACAAGTTTTTCATCTACAAAACCCCCCAGGCAGTTGTTTAGCGGTGTACAAAGTGTACCCGAAAGAAGACATTCAAGGGGCTATAGATAACATACATATGTATATATATGTATATATGTATATGTATAGCGATATGTATTTATGCACAGTACACATAATACATACATGTGTATATATATACATTTGCTGATATGTATACATGCAACAATGATTACGTTCAAATTCATCATTCGAAGCCTTTCAAGAATAAACTCCATTGCACACGCTTCAAGGACGGCAGGCTATGCAGTGGCCAAGAAACTGTAGTGCCACTGGAATGTCTGAAAATTGTCCTGAAGAGGGCCGCAACTTATTTGAAGAGCCTTACTTTTCGGCCTTACTTGAAGTCTAGACCATGAAAATCGGAAATCTCAAGGGTCATCCCCCAACATTAGGGCCTGAAATAGGAATTATGAACGTGTTGGATGTGGTTTTTCGGGGTTCCCTAAGTGTTGGGATGCTACAAGGGCATCATGTCAACAGCGCCTGCAAAGAGATAGGCCTCCCAAATGCTGGATAAGGACCTCCGTGGCGTGTCACCAACTGTTACTGGGTCATCCACTGTTGGCAGCTCTGAAAAACATGGAAAACATATGAAAACATGAACCAAATCTGATGGTTTAGAAAATCATGGTCCCAAATCCATCAGTCCATTGGGTTCTTTCAGTTCTGTCTCCCCCAAGGGGAAATAGCGTCATCAAACATCATACTGAATCATGTTTTTTCTTTTAATTTTGGTATCAAGATTTGGTAGAATAACACTATATATATATATGAATGTATTTGTATCAATTTGTTAATGAGGAGTACATATGTATCTAGATGTATATTGGTGCGGCTCAGCATGATTAACTGAAGTGATCCTAATGGACAGCGTAGCCAACGACTACGGCCGATGCTACCCATCCCATCTCGGAGTCCCACCTGTCCAGTCCAGCTTGTCTTGGTATCATTGCGCATGATGATACTTGGAACAACCTGTCATTATTCATCTATGAATCTATAAACCAATGTACATCAATGTACATCAATGTACATCAATGTACATTTTTCGTGGTATCCCGTCCCCATTCTTGTGATGTTTCTTGCTCTTTTTTCGATGCGACCATTCGTCGTATTGGAACATGAGGCATGGCTCAACAAAATCCCGGTGGCGTCGCGGGATCCCTACCCGAATCTACACGCGATATGTCGCTCCGTTTTTCCGGAAGGTCTGCCAGTTTTCATGGATATGTTCAATATTGATCAATATTTAAATATTATATAATATTATGATTGATCATGTTTCCAGGCAAGAAATGGAAACAAACCTTTGGAAAAACCGTCGTTTCCATATCTATGCTTATTGAAGAGTACCCATTTTGATGGGGACACTGACCAAATTTGTTCAATTGGATTCTCTTGAGGTCGAGGAACGCCACAAGTAAACGGAGTTTGGATAATGTCATCCCCCTCCAAACATTGGATGTTCAGTTTTGGAAAATGAATTCATGTATGCCCCCCTGGGCTTTCAATTCTTTAAGGATCCCAACATGTTGTTGCCAACCAACAAACAGTGAGGAAATGACATTGTGGCAGCCACATGTATCCCCTTGTATCCCTTGTTCTGTACGTCGCACATTGTGGTGTTTCTGGCATCTGTTTCGTGCAGTCTCCCTAGGTTTGCACGGTTTGCTCTTGTCTATCTGCTCATTTCTGATCCATTTCCATTACCTTTTGGCAACAACAGTGCCTGTTCTGTTTGGTTTGAATCTCTGGTAATTGGACTGGTTCATCACCAATGCCACTTTAAACCTTGGAACTCTGCAAAAAAAATATTGCGTTGCAAAGCTGGCAACATCACCATCCCCAAATCATGGGGATTCAGCCATCTCCCAAAGGTGACTCCCCCGCATGATAGATGGTTAAGATTCGCCCTTGCTGAGGGTTGGGGAAAAAAAATAAAAACATAGCCTCCTCTAAATTAACTTTGATGTGGAACGCCCACCATTTCAAAATGATTTTCCTAAAACCCATGAGAAAACCATAGCTTTTTTCCGCATCTTTTGTGAACCTCTAGCCTATGGTACCGGTCAAACGAGTGGCGTGGCTGGCCGTAGTTGCACAGCATCCACCATGGCACCGCTCACGCCGTCGTCGCCGTCGCTGGGCTGCGCCAGTTTCTGTACCGAGAGCTGCTTCGGTCGTGGCGGCATCCGACGCATCCAGGAGTTGAGGGATGGCATGCGACCGCGGGGAGGGATGCCTGGGAGCCGCTTGACGACTGCAAATACTGTGTCTATACGTATATTATAATATATATATAAGTATAATTAGTCACATGCAGATTGTCTAATCGAAAATATACACTGTATATCATAGAATAGATAGAGACATAGTTCTATATCTAATAAATATATATATACAACTAACAATATATTTTGTCTGTATAATGTAAATGTTAGACAAAGATAGCGGCATGTTGTCAGAGTATTGTGAAAGTAAATATATATATATATATATACATAATTCATTAATACATATTTAAGATTTTAAGACTGTATACAATAACAATCGATAAAATTGAAAATCAATCTCACATCCAATACAATTCTTTACATACATCTATTTTGTATGTACATAATAAGTATACACCTTGCATCTATTATTAATCTTCGTCTTAGTATCATGTCATGGTCTGGTGTACATGTCACGAAGACTTCCATCCGGCGGACATGATCCATTACGGATGTCTACGGTATCTACAGATAAAGGAAGAATGGTTCAGAAATATATAAAGAATGTTTCTCATATATATATACATAAAGGAAGAATGGTGTAAATCTACTAATATAAAGAAATGTCTGCCTCTTTGTGGATTGTGACTTCTCCCCAATGAAACTGCGGCGGCCAGCCTAACAAGGTTCGGTTCCACACAAAGGCTACCTCGGCTGGGAAATCCCCAAATTGAAGAGGAACATCATCTACAGTCGGCGGTGCCGCCGTTAGTTATATGATCATTGTTAAACAACCGGGATTCTACCGGTGGAAATTAGGCTTGATGCGTGATTTATGTTAGCTAAGATGGTTCAATGGGGTTTAGAAAGCAAAAAGCATCAGTAGGGGGTACCACCGTGGTACTTTTGTGGTTCCACTGCCAGCATTGCCAGAGGCCATGGTGGGTTTGCATCTGAACTATCTGAACTCAGGTTGCAACTCAGCACCAAGCTACAACCAAGCTCAAGGTCGTCACGGGTTGCAGCCACCCGGGCAGCTCCAGCGTCTCCACCGCCTTGCGCGGCAGCCGCACCGGCCGCAGGGCGTGGCATTGTCCGCAGAGGGGACGAGGCCAAGGGCCGCCATGCCAATCTTGCATGATTTCCGCATGAAATCCCTGGATTTCCCCATGAAATTCCATGACTTTCCCCATGAAATCCTAGGAAATTCCCATGATTTCTGATTTTCCAAGGCTATAAGGCTATAATAAACATGAATAAACATGTACAATTCTCTCATGCTGCCATGAGGACGGAGATGATCCCGGCATCTCTTCGCCACAAGCCTAAGAGTTGTCGCCAGCACTGGATTTGTTGGCACATGTTGGTTTCCTAAAATAGGGGTACCCCTAAATCATCCATTTTAATATGATTTTCAATAATTATAAATGGAAACCCCCAGACATGTTGGCACCGAGTTGGGTACAATCTTAGGAATTTGGTTCCATCTTCCATCTATGCACTGAAGGATGCCAGTTTTCTGCCAAAGAACATGTTTGGTCACCACAATGCAGCGTGACTTGCCATCACAGCCGTCACCCTGAAACCATTGGAAGTGATGATGCTGCACATTGCTGCAGAATTGCCAGGTACCAGAGCAGGTGGAGCAAAACGCGGCAGGACCAGGGCAACGTGTCATAGAACAATATAGAACAATCACTGTCATAATTTATGTCATCTGTTTGCGTTGGCATGCCTTGAATTCAACTGTGGTACAATAATGGCGCCATCCCCAAGTCATCACCATTTTGATAGGTTGTAAAGAACTATCCCCAAATTGTGGGTTTACTATTGGACTTACCACATTACTCCAACTCTTATTTTTCGTCTAATATCATCAATGGGCAAATTGTAGCAATCTCCCTGGCCACACTAATGGCTGGTAAGCCCCGAACCACAGGTTTTGTTTGGGAAAATCATTGAACTCATTGGTGGATTTTTTATGGATTTTTCATTACCACCTTTGATTTCCGGATCTGAAAAACATCATTGGTCGGCTTGGCCAGTGAGGTCGCGAGAAAAGAAAGAAACAACTCCCCATTTTTTCATGGCAGAATTGTCGAATTTGAATCCCTATCATAACCGTTGATTGAAGCACTATTGCAACTGGCCGTAGTTTGGCATCTTGCGGCGCCTTGAAATCCCCCTATCTTCCGCAGGATCTTCCTACCATGTTTGATGGGAAAAACCGCTGAGATCTCCTGAGATCCATCTGCCTCGCCGTAGGCTTCTCTTCTGATGCGCTCTTCCATGAGTTTTTCTTCCTCTCGAAGCTTCACCTACGGCAATTTGGCTAGTGGAAACGACTTGGAGGATCATCCTGCGAATTGTATCTGCTTAGTACCCTCAGTTATAAGTTATAAGCCAAATATAATATATAAATATATCATTATATCTATATTACATATATATATATATATATATATATATATATTATTGTATATATATATAACAATAATTATTATTATTACTATTATTATTATTAATATTATTATTATATATATTATTATTATATATATACATATACATGTGTGTGGAAGAATCTGATCACCAGTTTCTTTTCCCCTGGGATGATCCTCAATGACAGGCCGTTCCACATCGTGGAAAGCTAAGACTACTGTTGGGAACAAATATGGAATAATGATGCGAACCATTGAGAAACCACCTTTTTTTTGGGGGGGGTCCCATGATTTTTCAAACACGCTACAAGTACAGTAATATAAAGATGAACAGCTGTGCGGTTACTTTCTCCACTTCGCAGCAAATTTGTCTACATTAATTTTTTTAAAAAAAAACAAAACGAAATGGAACAGGGGTGGACTACTAGCCAGCTCCCCGGCAGAACCTCCTCAAAACACCCGGCCACACCCAGGGTGAATGAGTTCTAATGTTGTCTAACCAATAGTGATATCTTGGCAATAGTAGAAACTTTTTTTCCCACCTCCAGTTTTATCTCCAATACTAAATTCAATTAGCTTAATTTAAGTTTAATATTATCAAACAACTCATGTTCTGACCTTGTCCAGAGGGCATGGCCAATAGTGGACCCAACATGGCAATAGTGGATTTTTTTTCCCAACTCAAGTTTTTTCTCCAATACTAAAAGTAAATTAGCCTAATTTAATTTTAGTATTGCCAAACCTAATCCATGCAAAATCCATACCCTATCTATGGGAACCCAACCAAATCCATTCAGAATCCATCAAAAACCCAACAAAACCATGGAGAATCTATCAGATACATATAATGATCCCAGCCATAGGGTTCCAGGAATTTACTATTGGAATGCTGACCCCCCCCAAAAAAGGAAAATTTTCAAAAATTAAGGGGGGGTCTACTATTAGGCAGCCAACATTACCCCATTTCACTGACAAGTAAACGGAGCCACACCTCCTGGTTTCTTGCCATGTTGAAATCAGTAGTCACCCCTGAGAAATCACACGGGAAAATGCATTTTGACACGCTTGCACCCTTTGCCTCCTTGCTTCTTTCCGTTATCAAGAGCAGAACTCTCGGGAGGGAGGGGTTTGGGAGCTTAAGCCCATACACTACAGAGAAAAAACCTCAGCAACATCTTTACACCCGGGCCGTAGGTACATGGAAGAATGATGATGAAGCATTAAATTTGAGGGGGCGGGGTAGCTTATTTTCTGACCAAACCGACAGCATTGCGATGTGGTTCCACCCCACCTTTCGCTTCTCTTCCATCCATCGATCCATGTCTCGGGACTGCCAGCGCGCCTGGCAAAGCTTCGCACCCAGCAGGACACAGGAAGTTCACCAACAACCATGGAATGTTAAGCAAAAATAGTGCAAGCAAACCTGGGAGTATGTAGATAGTACTGGACTATATCCATAGGTACTTTATGATGAATCTCAAGTGAAGGACCTTCCTAAGGATATGGTGATGGGCGCACATCAAGGGTGAAATAGACCATAGGGAAAAGATCTATGGGCATGATCCATCTACCTGCTGATGAAATATGATGAAATATGGTGAATTGACATGGTCACAACCCCCTTTAACTGTATATATATATTATATATATATATTATATATATTATATATATATTATATATATCAGGATACATATATCTACCATTAACATCCATTAACCTCAGCTGTGTGAGTAATGCAACCCCCACATCTTCCACAGTTTATCACAGCCGAGCCTGAAGCCTCCGAGTGTCGATCTCTGCTTCTTCTTCCCAGTTTTGGCGATCAGTGTAGTACACCTCATCTGCTCAGTATCAACAGCCCCAAAAAAAATGGCTGGTTGGTGGTTGATAAAACCCCTCAGAAAAATATGAAAGTCAGTTGGGATGATGACATGCCCAATTAATATGGAAAGTCATATAGCAGCCATGTTCCAGTCACCAACCAGATGGCCGCTGGCCTAGCCTCCGGTAATCCACCATCCCAGGCAGGCGATGTTCATGGCCGAACGAGTCGATCTGTAGCGGTTCAACGTCGTTTTACTCATAGCGTGTTTGTTGTGGATGTTCGTTTGACTCAGCTTTCGAAAACTCATGGAAAACTGGCCGACCCATCCCCATGTCTGGTAAATTCCTGTTTGTTGATAGTTAAATCCCTCAAAAATCATGTCAAAAACGATCGATGAATCGATGTGATGAGATTTTAGGCATCTCAGCAAGTTCCTCAGTTCCTCATGGAGTATTTATTGATGGTTGAATCCCGAAAAAATATTGTCACTCAGACTCCCGTAATATTGATTATACAAATACATTGAAAACAACAAGTCGCAAGAGTACAACAATTTCATGGGATATTGACCCATCAACAGCCTAAACACCTGCTAAAACACAGGCCATTCAGCTGTTCCCCCTAGTGACACCTACATCGAATCGGTCCCCATGGGTTCCCCATGGGTCCCCCACAAATTCGCGCTCCGGTTTCACCGTCTTGGGGTCTTCGGACCAAGCACCTAGAAGTCGAGTGAGTTTGACTTCACTTTGTCAGGGAAGTTCACCATGGTTGAATTGGTTTAAACAAAAAAATGAAATGTGGTAAACAATGTGTTAGACAATGTGTTAAACTGTTAAATTATGTTTAATTATGTTTATATCATGTTTATATAATTGTTTTTTTTTCTGAATTGGTAGCATTTCCAGACTGTACGGGATCTTAGCAAATTGTTGCCATGTTCTTGTTGACACTGGACCACGCAAGCTACGGTCTATGTATGATCAATTGAAGCTGTGAAACCTTGACAACAGCAACTGGCTGTCAGTTCCAGGTTACTCGAACTCCACACAAACCCCTGCTGTAAGCAAGTGAGAGATCTGAACACCTTGCAAGCTTAGTGATGGCTTCATTGACTCCCTCTAGCCACACATTTGAGATCGAATGTGTTTGCAAATGTTTGTTCAGCCCCCTGAGAATTCTCTAAACCAACCTGTCTCAAGGCACGGTCGTCATGTTGAAGGGATGGACAAACTAATCGTGGTTTCTTCCTAAGAACTAAGCATGGCAAATCAACAGTTGCTCATGGTGATTCAATGAACACCCCATTTTGGATCATATCAATTGTGTTGCTTAAATTCCAAGTACAGTATATGGTTAAGCCATGTTAAACCACTCTCGTACCCTACTTTTTGCCGGTAAATCAAATTGGTGTCATCTTCAATCATTGTTACAATGTTGAAATCCCCAATTTTAGCATCATATTATTGGCCTAGTTATCCTCCATCAAATTGACATCGATATGGTAAAACACGATTTGTAGATCATTTTGCGAATGAGATTGGAAAAGGATGAAACGGGAACAAACCTAAAACATCCTTCCTAGTCTTGAAACAGCCATGAATTTCCATATCTACAAGTCTATATCGTCAAGTAGATCCACCATTTCAGATGGTCAATCCACCTGCTCATATCTATGAGTCGCCATTTGGATCTGGGTCAAAATATCAAAATTAGGTGTACCAAAAAGATAATTGATAAAAAACATGGTTGGTGGTTTTAGCCATCTTGAAAAATATTAGTCAGTTGGGATGATTGTTCCCAATATATGGAAAAATAAAAGCCATGTTTCAAACCACCAACCAGTGTACTAAACATACACAAAACCTACGGTCCTGACCCATCCCCGGCCTGTGGCCACAGGTCGCGGCCGCGCACTCCGCGCGCTCCGCGCGCTGCGCCGGCCGTGCCCTGGATTCACCAAAGAAGAGGTGTTTTGCCAGCAAAAAGTTGGGATTTTTGGGGATATGATGGGAAAATATGGGATTTAAGGATTTCTTGATTTCTGGTTGATTTATGATCGGATATAGGTAAGTTGGTTGAAATAACTAGGTCAACTTGGGCTGATTTCATGGGTAAAGTTAGATGGGTGAGATTGAAGCGACTTCTAGCTCGGGGGCGACATCCCGTACTAGCAACAAGACTTGCGCAATCTCAGGTTTAATCAGCAGAAAACACTTTGCGAAAACTGCTGATTTCACCACCAAATAAAGGATTCACCAACCAAAATCAGAACTGCATCAGCAGAACTGTTCTTTTTACCAGCGCAACATCACAAAATTGAACATTAAACTTGCCAAACTTCAGTGAAAAAACGGCATCTATCCAAACAGAGGATTCACCGACCAAATCCTGAACACTCTGTCACTGAGATTTGTCTACCGGGATAAATCGACTTCTAGCCAGAAATACAGGGGATAAGTAAGGGATATTGGTAATTTTAGAATCGCTTATATAAATTGTAGTGGCCGGAAACAACGCTTGAATATTGCAATATTACAAGCAACTTTTCTCGCCGTGGTCAATGTAAACAAATTCAATGTGATGCAAGGACGAAAGTACAATACCAGGGGTACTCAACCAACATCTGTGCATGAAGTGATCCACATTGGATATCACATTTTGATTTAACAAAATGATACATGACCAAAAACATGTAAGGAATGGTTTTGTCTAAACATGGAATACCAAAATCCATGGGTTAGACACGAACTCGCCATCATCTTCCCCATGTGTCAGTATGTCAATGACCATAGTTTTGGCCCAGATCCATTCTTATATATTCTTATCATATATTATTCATTGGGTAAATCATATCACATCCCTATTTTTGATGGAAACTGCAACAGCAACATTAAATTTCAAAAAAATGGCTAGTTACCAATCGAAGGGTTAAACCACCCGTCAATTGGGCCAGGTCCGAGATAGCGAATTTCCAAGTGCTTGTCGAACCGGTATGTAACCAGTCCTGGAAAATCAAACCACCCTGAAGTCATAGGGTGTCACTTGTAGAATCCAATTTTTTTAACACCCTAGAACTAACAGTTCAGATTCCTTCCGCCAGACCTTTCTTCTGGGGAACCGCGTGGATTTTGAACATCCGAACGACCGTTTGCTGCATTGGCCGGGATCCCAGCGGCGCGCGGAATCGTCGGACGGCTCTTCGGACGAATCTTTCTGGTCCTGGCATCGCCGCCAAAAAGCTCTGGAAACAAATGGAAGTCCAGCTGAAGATGGACATCTCCAAATCGAACCTTTTTTTGGGGGGGAAAAAAAAAGATCCATAAAAATGATGATCCATTTTCCAATGGAATATATCCTTTGTGTCGTATGGATTACCAAACCGATCCGAAAAAATCGTTCCCCACCCGTCACGGTTCTTCGGTCAGGCGAGTTCCTCGAGTTCTTCACTGGGTGAGAGCACTTGGAAGCGAGAGACCTGGGCGAGACTCACCCAACAGGGGATATACTACGAAAATCTACGAAATCTCCAACAGAGACTGGAAAGTGATGTTCAAAATGGGCAGCACAAACCCTCCGCCATCACGGGATGATTACCATGGTTGGACAGCATTTTTGCTGAGAAATTACCCAGTATAATTACCATGATACCGCCCAAAAAATATAAAAACATTGGTAATTTTACTATTTGGTTTACCATCTGGTTCATGCAGCAACTCTTAGGCATGTCAACATTTGGGATACGACCTGACATGTCCAGTCATCCTACATCATCCTACCCTATGATAATTTCACATATGGAAAATCACCCATCTTCATGGGTAAATCATCTACAAATGGGCCATGTTCCATAGCTATGTTGAATTAGAAACAGGTATATATACAGTACATATATATATATATATATATGTATATATATACCATCTCTTATCAAGGATGCGATGAACATTCCACTTTTACAATGCTGAACACCTGAGGGAATTGCTAGGTAGCTCCCTACTTCTCATGGTGTGTGTTTAAACCCCCATTAAGTCACTGGAAACGCCGTTCGCTCCATAAATCACATGAATCAATCCCCATTCAATCGTGAATCAGGAATTATCCCATTTGTTCACCGTTTTCTTCTGTAGAATCCCTCTTTGAAATTCGATGACATGCAATTGAATCACCTACTTTTCCCGTTGAATCTTGTTGAAACCCTCCTTTTCTTCATGGCTTTGTCTGATGAAGGTAGCACTGATAGCTTGGATTCTGATGCCTTTCGATATGTATCGCCAACTCACAGCGAATGAATATGCCAACCCATGGCACAACGATGCAACGCAGCCTTTTGGGGTCACTCGAGAAGCTCCCACCCTGCGGTGGACAAATGGTTTCGCCTGTGCAATGAATGAAGGTGGACCTTAGAAGATTCCATGTGGATAATCAGGATTGGTCATGTCAGGATGTTCGAACATGTCAAGTTGGAAACTCTCATCACCCATACTTCTGGAATCTTCTTCGTCTTGCCAGAGCCACTTGTTTGCTCTTGCAAGCTTTCCTACTTCTGACACGAAAAACGTCTCAAGATCCTTGGCTGCCTTTTCCAATTCACGTTTCTTGAGCTTTCGCCCTGCCGTAAACTGCTCATCGTGAATCAGCCGCCAGCTTTGGCCACGGGCCAAAAATTGAAGAAACACTTTCCTTTCTCCAAACTTGGTAAGGCAATCACCTAACATGGCAAGTCCATTCACCCATCTAAAAATGGTTCCAATCTTCCTAGCCAACTGGACTGACATGGTAAGTTCATAACCGGCCCTACTGGATCTGAGACCATGCAATGACGAGACATTGCGTGTTGTCGCATCAAAAATTCCACGGGTGTCCATGATCAACACACCACATGTCAAATCGCGGATTTGGCTGTACAAGGTGTGTTTCCTAAGAATCGTTCCATGGAGCTCGGCCCACATCGCTCTCAGCTTGAAGGTTGCTTCTTCAGCCTCCGTCAGTGCTTGAACTTCTGCTCCATTCGATCCAAGGCATTGACGTGGAGCCTTGCAGGATTTCCAGTTGATGATCGCTACTGTGCACTCCTCACCAGTTAAAAATTCTTTCGGAGCTAACCCTGAAATCATTCCAATGGTTGAAGCGCGATCAGGTCTGTTCTGCTGTCCAGCATCGCACCATGAAGCGATGATGATGTCCTTCCAATCTCTTCGCCAGCTAGGAAAGAAAAGACTTTGCTTGCTCTCACGCTTGACTTCCCTAATCAGCTTGTTGGCCTTCAGGATTGTTTGGACTGTCGCATTTGGTACTTCTGACAGCAACAGGCTAACATCGGCCTGGAAGTGAGGTCCAGTCTGTGTTGCTTTCCAAGACAGTGTTCCTATGGCACCACGCAGCTGTGACAACTCCTTCGGGGTCAGAGGAGCCTTAGTTTGGCTCTGTCGTTGCCGCGGCATCTGGATCTCATCAATCCACTTGGTGACATAGGACTCCTGTGAAATACGCAAACTCATATCAGACATTTGAGAAATCTCACATCCAGCAAATTCAATGTTTTGATCCTGCCATTTGCCCCATTTGTAGGCATCTTGAAGTTTACGTTCAGCCTCAATGAAAAAGGGATGGTTGTAGTCACCTCCAATGATCAAATCATCTACATGAAGACCTGCAACAGCAATAAGCTCTTGAGTTTCTGGATCATGAAGAGTGAAAACGCACCTATCAGCTAAGATAGTTTTCCATCCATGCTTCTTCATAGTTCCGCTGATGTCGTTGAACCAGCATCTCGGAGCTTGAACCAAACCATAAAAGGCCTTGGTGATGCGGAGAGGCATGATTGGATTGTGGGGATCTGCTCCAAACATCACTGCCAGTTCGGCTGGTGCCCAAACTGTCATTCCATCATCTTCCAAAGATTCTGCAGCCTGCAAAAACGCTGCAGTGACATCTCCGGCTTTGAGCTTGAAGCCCTTGTTGGCGATGATGGCCAGTATCAGGTTGCGGCTCACCCGCGCCATTGTTGGAGCGGCAGTGTCAACTTCCGCCACATTGGACGCCTGAAAGCCCAAAACAACGAGCCTGGCTTTGCTAGAACCATCGGCCTTTGTCGTAAGAACCCATCTCATTGACATTGCAGAAGCTGGGTCAAAGTTCTCCATCTCCTGGTCAGTGAGGCTTCTCAGGGCCTTGGCGCTGAGCACGTTCGTCAATTCACGTGCCTGAGCCATGTCAAAACTCTGCTTCTGGGATATGTCCATCTGAGACCATCTGAGTTCCTTTCCTTTCTCCATCATCTTGCGCGATAGCCAGATGCTTGACTTCTCTGGGTTCTTGGTCAGGAACGTGGTGTCAGAGGGTTTGATAGGAACCTCAAACGCATAAAACACATCCTTTGGTTCAGAAACTGCAGAGGACTTTGTGGCCAGGTCATTCTTTGAAACTTGGTTGGGCTCTATAGCCTGGGCATTCTGCAAAACTTGGTTGGTGTGCACAACCGCATTGAACTTGACAACTTTGTTGAAGCGTATGGCCTCGTCGGGCACCAACTCATCTGACGAACCTGAGCTTGAACTGGAACTACTGTTGGAACCTTCTTCATCCACTTTCATGCTCTTTCCATCTGAAGTCTGTACAAAACGTTCTCCGGCCACATCTTCATGTGGACCTTGGTGACCCCCTCGCAAAACGCAAGAGCTGATTGAGCACCGCATCGTGCTCGAAGAAGAGCCGCCTCTGGATGCAGGAACTCCATCCACTGCATTGGCACCTTTGTCTCGTAGTGCCGTGGTCAGAGGACTGATGTTGGGGACGTCAGGGATCATGACGCCTTGTTGATTCGCATCTTCATCTCCCTGTGGCTGTTGTGCTGGCATGGCTGGAATATCAGATCCAGCTGCTTGACTGGCTGAAGATCTCAAATCCTCAGCTTCCTCCTCAGGCTTCCGCTTTGTCCCACTCTTGGGTGTCTTGCGAGGCCTCTTCAGCACTGGGTCTTGTGCTGCAGGACGCATCTCAAACCAGGTTTCTCCTGTCCACCTGTCTTGAAGTGACCGTGTTGGATCATCACTTTCCTTGTAGTCGTCATTGATCTCCACAAGTTCAGCTTGAGGGTGAAGTCCCTTCAACTTGGTCTTGCGGATGCCGGTCAGCATGTCTTCATCGACAGGAGTGGTTTGTGTCTTGCTTGGAATGAACAAGGAGATACGTGGAAGAGAATGAATCCGGACCAACCATTTCTTGCTCTCAAAGTTGGTGATCTTCCAACTGTCTGGACGACCAGCTTGTTGGCCGGGTTCAAGTTGAACTTCAGCTCCTTGAACATCATCTCGAAGAGCTTCCATTGAGGGAACATCGCCAGTCACATCGCTGTAGTATCTTCCAGTGAAATTCCTCAGAAGACTGTCCAGCGTGACTGGCAACTTCAGGATGGCTGTGCCTTCCAACATGGAGTTGAGCTCTTCTTGTCGAGTGCAAGGCCTGACTTGGACTAAGCGGGCACGGATCAAGGTCGAGCCCGTCGCAAGCCAAACTGTGTGACCTTCTTGCAACAGCATCCTCACAGGGCCAACCCAGGTTCCACCTGTTTTGCCAGGTTTTGATCTTTGGCGCCAGAGCATCAAAAGTTGGCCTGGCTTGTAAGTCACGGTCGGCTGAGGGATGGTGTTGTTCAGCTTTGAAAGTCTTGCCTTTGCACTCTCGGCCTCAAAAGCAACCTTCGCCCTTTCCTTGAGGCGAAGCATGCCACCAAACGCCTTCTTGGGGTTGGTGCCCAGTGGGATGTTGTCAAGAGGGGCTGACGCACCTCTTGTCCACTGAAAAGGAGAGAAACCTGAAGGGCCTATTGACTGATTGTGGCCATGTGCTGCTAGGTGAAATGCCAAGTCAATGTCGATGGTGTCGTCATCCTTGAGAAGTCGCGACACCGTCTGCTTGATGATGTTGATCGCGCCTTCTTCAGAACCCATCATCTGGTGTGCTTCAGCTGGTGCAGTGAGAACACCAATGCCAGACTGACCTGCGTAGTCCAGGATTCTTTGAGAAGTGAAATATCTGGCAGCGTCAGTGATGATCCATTTTGGTGCTGGATTGACCATCAACCAACGACTGAAGCTCTTGATGATGTCTTCGCTGGTGGGTTCCCATGCAGTTTCCTCTGGGGTGCCGTACTTCTTCAAAAACTCTACCATCACCAGAGCACTTGCACGATCTCGCATCAGCAAAAACTTGTACTTGGCATTCTGAAACTCATACTCAAAAACATCCATGCCTACAATCTCAAAAAGGCCAGGAGTCTCATGCATGCTTGCCACTGGAGCCGGTCGTGGCAATTTGGACTCCTTGCAGGAGGGGCATTCAATGCTCCCTGCTAAGTCCACTGCCCATGATGGTGCCTTTCTTGCCCTCAACATCCGCTGGAGATTGGCCATCGACGGATGACCTGCAGCTTTGTGAACTCGCAACATTTGAGCCTTGATCTGTTCCAAAAGCTTTCCAGTGGGAGGTTGTTGAGGAAAACGGTTGCGGGTCAAAGCAAGGATTTGAGGCTCTTCCTGTCGAACCGCTTCAACCATTTGATCACCATATTCAGGGCATGGATCATGAACCAAAGGGATGCCGTCATCACATTCAACCAAAAGGGTGGAAACATCTTTCCCAAGTGAGGCGCCGACTTTGTCTTCCGCTTCTGTCCAAGAGGCAGTGACAGCTTTTGTTATGGCCCTCACCATCTGATCTGGGTAATATGATGACGCTTGAGCGACTTGACCCCTGCAATGCACGTGTTGTTGGTGACCTGGACATTTTCGTTGGAGTGCTAACCAGACGTGGCGACTGGTAGTAGCCACCGTCCATCTTTTCATCACTGGATGATTCTGCCATGTAAGTCCAAAAGCACAACCGTGAAAATGGGCCCAAAACAAATGCTTGCCATGTTTTCGTGCCAAATGCTCAAGCTTTCGGATGGCTCTAGAATTCCATCCTTTGGTGGCGCCTGTTGGCCACTCCCAGCTCAAATCACCATCACTTTCCAAAATGGGTTCCATGGCATCCACAACCTCTTCCGCTCTCTTCAAGTCGCGTCCTTGCCGCTTTTGGAAGTTGGCTTGCTCAACCTCATCTCGCTGAGTCAGGTTGGTCAGCGATGACAGCCTAGTGCAAGGCAGGCTGACCCAGCCGTGTCGAGGAACATGTTCTTGGACATATTGAGCCAACTTCGTAGTGCCCTCTTTCTTGTCAAGGTCAAAGCCATTTCGGTAGTTGATCCTGTAGGCACTGTGTCCAAGAGCTTCCATAGACGCCGTCAGACTTGAAGTTGGAGCGCAGGCCACTTCAATGAAGTCAGTGGCCTGGGAGATCTGGTTCATGAGGCACTGAACTGGAGCCAGTACCATCGCACCAAGAACTGCTGCATTTCGAACCATCTTTCGTGCAGTGTGAGGTTGAACTCCTTTGCGTTGTCCACCTCCAGCACTTGGTTCTGGAACTTGACTTTCCACTGAATTCTTGTGGCTGCCTTCAAAAGTGGCGCCAGCATTTCGGCCATTGGGGATGCCGTGCGAATTGGGAAGGCTGGTGTCTTCAAATGACGCAGCCAAAAGATCTTTCGTGGTGTCCTGAGACGTGCGGCCCTCACGGCCTCCAAACTTCATCTTCTCACGCAAACTTGCCATAGAGCTCCACAGGCTAGATAGCTTGCCGCCTATGGACCCTTTCTCGTCTTGCCTTCTTCCTCCTCCTTCTCCCACTCCGACGCATGGACTGACATCTCCGGATATTCCCATTCCGAAGACTGAGCATCCATCTCCTTTCTCACAGCATCGCGAACTGCTGTCTCGAATTTCTGAGCATCCAAGTTGTCCAAGCCTTCCTTCTTGAGGTAGCCAGCTGCTGCCTCCAACATCTTTGTCTCCAACTGTTCTGGTGTTGGCTTGGATGGTGCCCTCTTTGGAGCCGGTGACGGGCTTCGAGGCTTCTTGTTGGACTCCTCCTTGAATCCCATGCGCTTCATGTATTGGGCATAGGTCATGCTCACGGCCATGGAGTTGCTGATGCCATGTTGCAACTGCAGGCCCTTGATTTCCATGAGCTTGCCATTCACCACTTTCTCGCTGACTTGGTCCTTGGGCATGCTGGCCTCGATCTGATCCATGGCTGCCTTGATCAGATGAGGGTGTGGACCCATATGACGGTCCTCTCCATGGCTGTCCTTCTTCGGCCTGTAGGTGATTCTCAAGCCGCATGCCAGACATGTTGACCAAATTGCGAACTGGTTCTGTCTCTCCTTCGGTTTGTGATGGCTGAAGCATGGAAAACCTCGAATGCGGGGGTCGTCCTCCGCACATGGTTGGACTGGAGTGCCCATGACAAACTCGGTCACGCAAAAGGTGAAGCCTTTGAGCCAGGTTGCTAAGTCGGTCTTGTCGTTGGACCACATCTGAAACTTTGGACAACATTAAAACGTTGGCTTCAACCTTTTCTGATTCCATCTGCAAATCTGATTCAACTGCCTTCTCATGACCATGAACTTGTTCTGCAAACCATGTATGAAAAGAAGACATGGGTGTGGCCGTCTCAATCAAATCAATGGAAACGTGTGCTGAGGCATGAGGGTGCATCTTGACAGCATACCAAGTTGTCTGGGGTTCCTGACGCTTGTAAATGAGCAAGTTGTCCTCGTAGGCCAGCATGGCCCCAAGCTGCCGCAGGGTCTTGCCTCCCATCAAAGGAGGTGTCTGGTTGGCTTCATCGCCAAGGACATAGAAAGAAACTGTGCCAATGGAAGTGTCCAACAAATCAACCCTGCTAACTGCTTGAGCTTTGTGACCATTTCCAAATTTGAAAACTGGACGATCTTGCAAATCCACATCATACGAAATCTTGCCCTTCTCAATCAACATGCCCAATGAATCCATACCCACAGCATTCTCGGAGGCTCCCGTGTCAATGATGACCCGAGTGCCAGGTTCAACGTCGGAAGTGTAGATGCCAGGGTCAAAACATGGGCTAATGTCATGATACTGAAGTGACTTGAAACCCTTCTTGCTCTTACCTTTCCCCTTTGGAAACAAACTCTTACCTTTTCCACCTTTCGCAAATCTGTCAGGACATTGCCTCCAACTATGGCCGTTCAAACCACATACAAAACATGGGCCAAAAGATTTGCCCTTTGCTCCAAGTGACTTTCCCATGCCAGACTTGCCCTTGGGGGATCCGCTTGGCGACCTAGACATTGGAATGCCCTTTCCAGTCATAGATTCTGGTGCGAAATACCCTCTGGCTTGACGGACACGGCGAACTGCATCTCTCGCCTCTGCAAGCGTCTTGTTCGCCTCATTGGCTAAGGCGTAGGCCTCTTTGTACTGGGTCTCGGCCGGATCGTCGGCCAGGTCATCAACTGGAAGTTCATCTTTGGGAGACGCATCATGCCAGCTCTCATCAAACTGACTGTCGCCCCAATCATCATATGTCCATGGAGACCAGTCTTGCCAGTAAGCCTCTTGCCAATCTTGTTGACCTGGATCGTAGGACTCCCAAGGTTCCCATGCATCTTCATCATCTGGCCAAGGTTCATCCTCAGCGTTCCACCAAATCCGTAACTTCTTCCAACTTGAATGGCCGCCATCATCCTCTTCAGAGAACAAAGTGCGCAAAGCTCGACGCACTGCCAAGAAATTGGTGCTGTTTCCAGTCTGCGTCAGAATGTTCTGACGTTCCTGAGCAGTTAAACGAGCAGCTTTGAGAAGACGATATCCTCTCAATTCGTCCTCAAAAAAGTCAGAAAGAGCAACTGGTGCCGCCGGTGGCGACGTCGGCTGAGGATCAGCCGAAGGAGATGATGCTGCGGCTGCAGCAGCTCTCGCTTGGGCTCCAACTGGACTCCTTGAAGGTGTCGATGGCGGGTCAGTTCTCGGAACATCTCTGGTGCTAGGAAAACCTGGAAGGTGTCGTGCTGCCAATGTTGCTGGAAGCTCTCGGTCTTGTCTCGCTCGTGTCAGGGCAGATTGAAGCTGCACAAACAAATCTTCCTCCCTTACCAACAACTGGGGAATTGTCTCACCATTGTTTCTGCGTAAGTGGTGCCAAACATCCAATCTTTTGAAAGAGTCTGGAACTGGTAATTGCTGGAGAGGGGAAGTTCTCAACACTTCCAACAACTTTGACAACCCTTCTTCAGATTCATAGTCATCTGGATTAAGGTGACGAACAACTGCTTTGGCTGGACCCTGCAATTTTGCCCAAACTCTAAATGCCGCCTGCTTGCGCTCGGAGTCTTTCAAAGACTTCACATACCAGCGACATGCCACTGAGAATGTTTCAAATTCTGCAGGATCTCCAGACCATGTGGGAACCTCACTGCCAGCTGATGCTGAAGACGTCATGGCGGGAGCCCTCCAGGGAGGGCTCCGCTACCATGAAGGTAGCACTGATAGCTTGGATTCTGATGCCTTTCGATATGCATCGCCAACTCACAGCGAATGAATATGCCAACCCATGGCACAACGATGCAACGCAGCCTTTTGGGGTCACTCGAGAAGCTCCCACCCTGCGGTGGACAAATGGTTTCGCCTGTGCAATGAATGAAGGTGGACCTTAGAAGATTCCATGTGGATAATCAGGATTGGTCATGTCAGGATGTTCGAACATGTCAAGTTGGAAACTCTCATCTGACAATAAGGTACTTCATGGTACTTCTAAATCCTCTGGTTCACCATTATTTTTCCATTCAATGACTATTTCATGGGTATACGGTATACCTTATTTTCAGACACACCCAGTATTGACTGAAGTGTGGACCCAGTCGGCAATGTCGTTTCTTTTTCTTACTGGTGCTTAGTAGGGAATGGTGCAATGATCTATCATACCCATTCATACCCATAAGAAAACTATTATATATATATATATACATATAAGAATCATATACATATCATCCCATTCCCTCCAAAACCTTGGGCACCATATTTTCTTCATGACATCCTCCTTTTCGCACCGTTTTTCCATGGCTGTTTTGTCGTTCTGCCGTGGACCGTCAAAGTTGCATGGCATAGCGACGTTCCCCCAGAGGCTTGGTCACCTAGCGACCGGAAAGGTCAAGGGAGGAAAGTTGGCCCAAACGTGAAGCAAAAACCAATCATGCCGTTAATGCCCAGCATGTCCAACATATCCTGGAATCCAGTGAAATTGAAATTGATCACCTTCCCAGAAATGTCAGATGTCCAAACATTTTGGAGTCCGGTCCAACCTGAAATCTCAATTGGTGGTACGGATGTTTACGGTCTGTTCTGTTTCACACCGCATCTCCAATGGTATATCGGCGCCAAACTCTTTGCTTTAAGGCTCTAAGTCTGGAGTCCTTCTGATTATGTCCTTCTACAGTTTTCATCTGCGTGACATTGATGGCATACGTATGGTATCCCCAGCCACCCAGCCACAGCCTGTGCAAGCAGCGTTTCCACTGAGCTGTCATGCTGCGCCAAAGCAAAGGGCGACAGAGCGAAGTCGTTGTGGATTTCGGGGTCCGCCCTGCCATGATGTTGATCACCATGAACATTATCACCATCATGATCACCAACAACAAGAAGAACAATAACAACATCATGATCATCACCGCCACCACAATCATCAAATCATCATCAGATCATCAAATCATCAAATCATCAAAACATCAAAACATCATCAAATCATCAAATCATCAAATCATCAAAACATCAAAACATCATCAAATCATCAAATCATCAAATCATCAGATCATCAAATCATCAAAACATCAAAACATCAAATCATCATCAAACCATCAAATCATCAAATCATCAAATCACCAAACCATCAAATCATCAAATCATCAAATCATCAACACATCAAATCATCAATTCATCAAATCATCAATTCATCAAATCATCATCATCATCATCATCATAACCAACCACCACCACCACCACCACCATCATCGAATCATCGAATCATCATCGAATCATCATCGAATCATCATCGAATCATCATCATCATCATCATCATCATCATCATCATCATCATCATCATCATCACTTCGTGTGTAGGACAAACATATGTAACATAATAGAACATATGAGTGTTTATGAAGGATAGGAAACTATGACTGTTATCTGGAACCCCATTCAAGAAGGCAACAACTTTCGATTGATTTCTCAAATGATGCCCCTACCAGCCATGGACGGTATATTGCTTGCCGACATTTGGGTGATGTGTGTGTGGCAAACGTAGGTAAACACACATATTATGTCATGATATATCATCTACAATGAATTATACATGTGTATAATTCACATTCAATCTGTCTATATGTGCGTATAAGTGATCAGACTTATAAATGAATTCTATGTGCAAGATTTGGCAATGCAGATACATACTGTACAACCATGATTTTGAATATGGTCGTGTCGCTTGCCTGAAAATAAGCTACCCTCAAATACGTGGTTTCACAGTATTTCATCGTTCCATTTTATGATCCATGGGATATCCCATACATTCACTGGTGAAGCCAGTTACATCCCTGGAATTTAACCCAGTCAGCCAACATATCCAATTCTATTCCCACCATTTTCCCATCACATTCCTGTTTTTACCTCCCTTCTTTATGTGTAATTTCAACATGTTCGACTTGTTTAATCTCGAAGTTTTAGGGGCGCTAAAGGTTAACATGCATCAATTTGAAGTCTTCAAAAGCCTCTGTTGTCCCCTGTATATCCTGTATGCTGGTTAAGAAGTTAAGAATGGATGTGATATATCAATGGATTGTGATCATCCCCGATATATGGCAGTGTGTCAAAACCTTGTACCCCTGGCCTGGTAAATGGATGTTCATCCCACTAAAAATGTATCTATAGGTATTGACCCATACCCATATTGCAACATGGTATAACGCCCATGTGATCAGCACCTCGAGGCCAAAAGCAGCTGCACAACCTGGCTGCGAAAGGTTGGTTTTTGCATCTGGGGTCTGAAGAACTGGGAAAACTCATGGTAAAACCGGGAAATAACCCTAAACCCCAGTTTGAGACAAATCCGCTCGTGATTTTATCTCATGTCCAGCCCTGAATCACAAGCAACCTTGGTTTATGGTTGGTTAAAACCGAATGTTTGGTGGTAGTTCGGCTCCTACCCAAATATCGACAACAAAGCCATACAGCCCCACGTTTGTGTTTCGTTAAATTTTCATGTTTGATGGTTGCTCTGATGGTCTGGTGTATTTTTGCAATAATTCTAAATGTAATTTCTTTCGGTTGGTGACATCATCTTGGTCAAAGTCCAATTTTTTTTACTGGTTGCCAAACCAAAAAACGCGGCATGTGGGGTGGCTTCGCTGATACTCATCTCATCATATATGGTGAGATCGGCACTTGCGGTCGCTATACCAAGGTTCATCAAAGGTTTCGCAGTTTTAATTTAACGGGAACAAAAACAACCCAGGTTCACGTGCATAAACAAGGTTGATAGCCTTCAAACATGTATTGTTTGAGCTATAGTTATGTAAATACATCAAAACTAGTTATATAAAACATTGTTAAAACAATGTTAGGACACTCAGAAACATATACAATATTAATATACGAATATAAACCCATCATTAGCCCATCTATTATCATATTTTATGTCACCAAAAACGCCTTCGCGGGAAGTTCACCTCCGCAGGGCATTGGATGATATCGCGGGGTTGGTAACTCATTGCTCCTTCGTTAAACCTCAATCTGTTTTGTTGACTTTATGGACAAGAATCCGCATGTTCAACCAACCAGGCACATATATTATTGTTGGCTATAATACTGTGTGGTTTATATATATACAGTATAGTGTGTATGTATGTATGTATGTAATTGTATGTATGTATATATATATATATATCATCCCATGATGCTCCCCTATAAAGGTTGGTTATAAATCCCTGCACTTTGTTGGTTAAATCCTTATCATTCGAAACCATGATTGGTCACATTGCACGGTTCATTCATTGTCATCGCCTGTGCAAAAACATCTAAATGTTGTTAAATCAGTCGGACACCACCTTAAATCAAAGTTACGAGGTAAATCACCATGTTTGTTGGTAAAATCCTCAGTGAATACTCTCCGGTGTCATCAAACGTGGCAATGGAAAATCAGAAAAATTACGGTTGATTTTCCCATTAAAAGCTCCATTTATAGTGGATTTCCAGTTGCCATGTTTGATTACCGGAGGGTAAATCACCATGTGTTGGGTAAGTCAACATCTGTGTGCTGCGTTCATCACCGTTGTTTGATGCTTTCATCACCACTTTTTGCAGGTGAAATCCCAACCCCAAAAAACACTGTCCGCCTCTATGTGTCCCATTTCTGCCGACAGATGCAGGGCGCTGTTGCCATCTTTGGGCCGCTTCCAATTCACATCCTGGGCGACTGCAGTCACGGATATTGTAAATAGGAATAATCATAAATCATAGATTTTAACAATACAATACAACAACCATATCAACATTATACAAGTAGTAAAAATAACATTATAGTGATTGTGTTGCTATGTATTTATGTGTATATATATATATAGTGGTAAACAAAATACAATGATACAATAAACATCAATAAACTCTATATATATAATACACATATACATCCGTAATATGGCGTAGCAAACACTTTCCCTGACATTCCCGAAGCTTGCACTTTTTGGATCTTTTTGGCACGGAGCTGACTAGCGCTTTTCTTGAGCGGAAACCACCACGCCCCAGAGTTGGATGATAAAAAAATAGAGAAAAATTGAAGTTTTAAAAATGATGGTGAAAACATGTACAAATCATAGTTTCCTGTAGATTTTCCCAACAAGATCCATCCATCGTTCGGGAAATCTGCAAATCAAGAACTGGTTGGATGCTGACTCCACAGACCCGAGAAGACTGGGTTACCCCACTGCTCCGCCCTGCAGTAATCGCATCACATTCTCTGCGTCACCCTTCATGGCCCAATGGCCCAGTTCCTTCGCCCCAAAACTCACTCGGCTTTGAGCGTTGCGGATCTTCTGGGTTCACCCTAGGAATCTTAGGTTCACCCCAATCATATCTCGACATTGCCCCTATGGATCCCCTACTCAATTTATTGGGTTTTGGGGTTGGTTCACCCACTTTCTAGTTTAGAAATCACAGTGAGTAGCTCAATATATCTGACATAACCCATAATTCGCTTGGTTTTTTAACCGACTTAGGGAACGAACTTGGGCACCAGCTTGTATGGTGAACTACCGTTGTTCATCCTCAAAGATTGGACAAAAAAAAAGAGGATTGGTGATCGCATGTGCCAAAATCACATACACAAAAAGTGGTGTCATACTGAATATATCTATATGTACTGTAACCTGTAACCCCTGAAAAGATATTAATTAAATTCAATTGATGTGAATTTTCATACTTAGATCATTTAGATCTCATGAACTGTTATGAAAGATTTGACTTTCCTATCTTTTCTGGTTGCTGCTGATTCTCCGCAGTCCTGGGAAGGAATCTCATCCTCTCGTACTGGGCGTACCTGGGATCCCATGGGATCCCCCATGGTGTTTCAGTGAAGAGGGATTGAAGCATCACAAGTGAGGAGTTGCCTAAAAAATGATATATATATATATATATTATGTTATATATATATATATCATATATAATATTATATGTATATATTATACTATATAACATGTATATATATATATTTGGATATATTTGGATATATTATGATATATTTGGGATTTTAACTTCATATCATCCACTTAACTTTCAAAAAAAACTAAGATTTTGAACCATTAAGCTTCAAAAATTGGTCTCGCTCTTCAACTTCATCGGGATCTACACCCAATTTCCGTGCCCAAAAAAGGCCAGCATCCTTTTGGCCAAAGGCTCGGCGCCAAGCTACCGGATGCTTGTGCTGAGACTCGTCTGAATCTACGGAACTGGACCTGGGGCGCTCGGGCTGCGAAGAGTCGTGGAGGCACATCGATGGTAGTCTGATGATTGTTCCAGGTTTTCAACTCTTCGGCATCGAGATATATCGAGATGAAGGTGGTCAACTCGTTTGCCCGGATGAGGAAGAAGTCCGATTGTGATTCATCAGACACGACCCACTTGAAGACTTGCTTGATATCGGTTTGTCTGCCAATAGTGTACAGTACCCCTAAATTGGATTATAGTATCATTAATTTTCCACATTAAAATAGCTGTTTGAGGGGACACCCCATTTTCAAACACCCATGTTGATTGAAGGGTTGACCCAACCAGAGCCTCGATGAAGCAGTGGTAGGGGGCTCTCTCGCCTGGCAGTGGGTCAGTGTGATCAACCCAATGCACTCCTATTGACTCACCATTTGGGCTTCATTTTGCATCGTCCCAGTCATAGGGGCATACAAATTAGACCCCAATTGGATTATTTTTGGCTTCACCATATTATGTGTTTTATGATTGGGTACCAAAAAGGCATGGTTTCTGATGAGTTAAAGAAAATACGACCAAAATCAAAGAACATCTCTAGATATCTCTAGCTTTCAGGACCCAAATGTTTGACCCAAAAAACTCCTGTCTTGACCATCTGAGCACAACCGGTGGCTGATCCCACCAATGGTTGGTGGTTGAGCTGCAGATGATCATCCCATTGGGGGTTTTTGTTGATGGGATCCATGGCACACCAGATATAGCAGCACCGTTAGGATCCGTCATGGGTAATTGGAGATAATCATCACAGGTACAGTAATTATCTTTAAGACAATGGTGAAATGCGGTCGATGATTATGATCTCAAATTCAAATATCCAACCAAATACAGTAGTGACTCCATGAATTGGGAACCTTTGGCAATGGCACCAAATTCCACCCCAATGCCTGTTGTCGAACCAGGGCAGAAAGTACCTGGTGGCACGAGAATTTCATGCCATCCTGGACAGTCTCCTGCCAACATAAACCTCATGTAAATCTTCGGCTTCTATTCATTTTCGGAATGGACATGTAATATGCTCCCAAACAATCCAAACATAGATCCAGAAAATGGTCGAAGACACCCAAACAATGCCTCCTTGATGGCATGCACACACGCCAAGCGATCAAGAACAAGGATGAAGCAAGAAACAACATAAATAGTTATAACACTGATGAATGTTGATACTTATCCTTACACATTAATCCAATAATCCAATTAACGATCAACATTAACTATCAACATTAAGTATCAACATCAACTATCAAATTATAACTATCAACATTAACCACTGTTAGTTGGTGGTTTCACTTCATCACAAAGTAATTCAAAGACCTGATTACCCTGCTGTTCACATCAAATTATAGTTTTCGATGTTCATCACCTCTCAAACATAGTGCTGTTGGCTATACATCCCATTTCAAACTAATCTCCCCATCAGAACCGTTTTATTGGTGAAAACTGCATTCGAAATCTCCATGTGTGTTGGTGAAATCCCGTTAAATTCCTAATTACTTCACCATATGTGTTTGTGAAACCATATCATATTAGACCATTTCAATCCATTTTGTGTATAATTATTCTCCAGTGGTCCAAACCCATTAGAATCCTATTAAAATCCCATTAAGATCCCATTAAAACGACTCCATTAACATCCCATCAAATTCCATCAACTTGTCCCACGTGTTTTTCCGGGATATGTCTCCAAATTTACCCTCTGGTAAACTAACATAACTATGGAAAATCACCATTTTTAATGGAAAAACTCACTATTTCTATGGCCATTTTCAATAGCTATGTTAGTCATTACCAGAGGGTACGTCAAACCACCCGCATCTCGGCACCTCCCGGTGCAGCTGGCGGAAGGCCTTGTTCTCCGGGTGGAGTTGAATCCCCTCCTGGCGCGGGCCACAAATGTCTAGTTACAGTGTGTTACAATCCATGGTGCTAGTTATATAATAGATATGGCAATATAGAAATATATTGAACTATGTATAGAAATCTATAGAATATGTATATATAGAAATATCATGAAAATATATAGAAATATATTCAATTTTGCAGCCAAGAGTAGTGACTAATAGGTGATAGTGAAGTGCCAACTAAAGTTGATAGTAATCCTCCCATGGAGTCCACCCTGTACTTTTTCCATCGAGTGATTGCTATACTCAAAAGGCCAAAAGCATCCCAAAACCTGTCAAATATGGTTGAACTATGTTAAAATCATAGGGAAACGATCCTAAAACTTCTAAGATCACATAAGAACGATCTTAAAACATCCTAAAAGTGCTAAAATCATGAGAAAAAACTCTCCAAAATTGGCTGAAACCGATCTAACATCTACAGTATCCTAAATTCATCTAGAAGTGTCCAATAAACATCCCTACCCAGCCCTCAAAATCGTCATGCCTCGCAGCGTTTCAAAGCCGCAGGGAGCTGTTCCAACTTGCGGAGACACATGGCCGAGCCGTAGAGCGCCTGCACGGCTAAGGGGATGGTGGGAATCTCTTCATTCTGAAGCTGGGGATTTTACTACGCCCAATTTGCTATGGTGGATTTAATATTAATCAGTGGGGGAGTAGATTATCCCATGACGGATCATATAGAATCCATGGTGCTGCTATATATGGTGTGCCATGGATCCCATCAACAAAAACCCCCTTTATGTTACCATATATAGCAGCACCGTTAGGATCCGTCATTGGTGGATCACGGGATCACGAACTGCAGCACCACTCCAATGACGTCACGAGGTGAGGTCGTGACTGACAAATGTCGTTAGAATTCGGCCAAATCGATAGCTCTTACCCTCTGGTTATGACTAACATAGCCATGGAAAATCCCTAATAAATGGAGGTTTTAATGGGAAAATCATCTATAAATGAGCCATTTTCCATGGCTATATTAAATAACCAGAGGGTAAGTGTTGTTGAACATCTACAGTACCAGTGAATTCACAGAAAAATTCGCCCAGTTTTCCTGACTCAACCTGTTTCAATGTAACTCCGAAATTGGGAGCAGCACAGCTTTGGCATTTCGCCTTGGCATTTCCTGGTGAGAGCCGCAAGGCTTCTTGGGTATCTTCTTCTGCGAGTTCCCAGCCTGAGGTTTTGTCGTCCACGCAACCGTGTGGAGAAACCATGTGCGACCAATTTAATCTCGAAAGACTCCAAAGAAAAACGAGTCCCTAGATTTCACAATTGATGTCACATAACATCAAATAGCAATTGGCTAACCATCAACTCGACTATTTAATGTTATTTAATCAATCATTCCCCACCTGCCAGGTGAGAGTCTCTAGATTTAAGCAAGGCGCATCTCCTTCCTCCTTCCGCCAGATCGTCCCCACGGTGAGCACCAACAAGCTCCACGGGCACACATGGATCACATGCCAGAAAGAATGTCAGATAGGATGTCAGAATAGATGCCAGAAAGAATGCCAGAATATGTCAGATAATTTCAGATAGAATCAGCTAGATGGCCAAAATAGATACCAGAACATCATAGAATGTCAGAATATATCTCAGAATGTCAGTTGGTAAGGATCACTCTCATAAGTGAAGGGAGATCATCTGCCGTCCCTCGGTCCATCTCTAGGCTGCCCGGACAGGATTGCTGCCGGTATGCATTGGAACGGTTGAGCCAAAACGCACAGTCCTGGTGCCATGTCTTCACCATCCAGCATTGATATGGCTGGTGTTGATCCCATGTCACAGGTTGCTAAGTTGGTTGGTCCAAAAATCCGACTGTCCCAAAATGTGTGGCTATTTGAATGAGGAAAATTGGAGGCGACAACCAAATGTATGGCCTACGTAAGCTCCGGGTAAGGGACTATCTAAAAAATATTGCCTTACATGGCACAGTACCTTCACTAACATACCTGAATGGATCATTGATGATAATTGATAATATAGGCAAAACTTAGTGAAGGATCTAAGCACGTTACTAGGATGATCAACTTGTTATCACATACGTCCAAAACGGCCTGGGGAATCAGCCATGGGAAACATTGGAAGCCCATGCTGGCCTTGATCAAATCATGGGATATAGAATAGATCAACCAAAAATGGATGCCAACAGTTGTGTTTACACAGTTACCCTCTGGTAATGACTAACAGTTTGCTATTGAAAATGGCTATTTATAGTGGATTTTCCCATTAAAAATGGTGATTTTCCATAGTTATGTTAGTTTACCAGAGGGTACATCCTCAAAATCAACATCCAAGACATCCAGTCGATCAAAAGTCCAGGCTTCTTCAGGCTCGCCAAGTCGTCGGTTGTTTGTCTGAAACATCTGAAACCCCCAAAATCCGGTGGTTATGGTGGTTTAATTATCATTATTATCGCCATTATAATGACATATAATGACCATTTGGGAAAGTAATAATGCGTAATATGTTCAGACGCCATGTACATATCATTGTGCTGGTTGTACACCCATGACAGCCCCATGATGGTTCTAAACCAACATAACATTGTCATTGTTGGCAACCGTACAATCCCCATTTCCAATGGGGACTGCCCCCAAGTTCCCCATTCGTCCTGTGGGTTCAACTCGATGGCTTTGTTGTAGGCTGCGATGGCCAAGTCAAACTCTTGTCGTTTGAAGTGGTCGTTGCCTCAGACTGGGCTGGCCGGCTGATGGAAATCGGTCTCTTGGTTGTTTGTTTCTGTGTTTTTTTTGCCTCGATCATTGGTATCTAACCAATCATTGGTAATTATTTAACCAGCTACTTTATTGAGATTCAACCCGTTTAACCAACAAACAAATGATATGTGTGTGTGTGTGACTGAAAAATTGTAATTTGCTAACAATTTATGGCATGGACCAATAGGAAAATGATGTCTTAAAACATTGGAATTTGGGGCCACCTATTTTCAGACAAAGCGACAAAGCCAAAGACTCACAGATTAGAGACTGACAGTTTGGTTTTCCATTGCTCTTGACATTTTCTAGTTTATTGTAACCTATATATATATATATGTAACTATGTGTATGCATACATATATATATATAGTGGATGTTATGGTCAATGTGTATGTATATATATATATCATCTAAGAATCTATTATATTACAGTATACATACATACATACATAATTCAAACATATTCATCTATATTCTGCCATCTGCCCCTTTTTTTTCTGGCTAACAGCACCTACCAACTCTGGCGTCAGAGCTGCCAATCTCTTTGAACTCCTCTGCAGTGGTCATGGCGACGTGTCACTGTGGAGTTGGCCAACTAATCTGGTGATCTTACGCCATGGATCCCCATGGTATCCTGGTGGTTTCAAGGCCCCGAATATATACCTTAATATGATATAGCGAGCGGACTGAAATTATTATCCGAAACAGGACAGAAAATCAAGTCGCCAAGGTTCAGCTTTTGCTTTACAACTAAGGTTTGTTTGTAGCGGCTGCAGTTCGATCATTGAACATTTCATCCTAGACATTCTTAACATTTCTTAACACTAGATGATGGCCAATCTGAAGCTGGTGGGTACACAGAACAGATCAGAATACATTTTTTGGCAGAAGATTAAAGTACTCACTTTACCAAATTTATGACCCAGCCAAGCTTTCCTATGGTCACGTGGCAGAGGTAGGACATCCACCGGAAACTGTCTGCTTCGACTTTCAAACTGCGGTCACAAGACATGCCTGAAAGGGTTCGATCCTGTTGGATTTGCAAACTACCAAATAAAGATAACAATATGTACAGTAACTAAACATGCAGGAAAAAAACACATATAGCATGTGTGTTTGTCATCTCAGTTGATGTTCAATTCCTTCACCTGCGACTCCATTCGGTGAAACTTTCTGGACCACGAGAAAAATAGCAGCCCCTTGGATCATGAAAGGGCGTATGTTTGCTGGTGAAATTCCCAGTTAACATGGAAAAAGAAATCCCCAAATCTCGTTGAACTTCGCAGTGGCTGAGTTAGCTGCGGAAGGGTTTGGAGATGCCTCTGCACCTCACTCAGGGTTTGAATCTGCTAGGGACCGTAGTGTTCAAGGACAAACATGTACACATGTTGATGTATACACACATGTTGTTGTACATCCACTTAATTACTAAGTAATGTGCTCTTGATAGAACTGCCTGTCTGTGTATTATATATAGATATGGGTTTATCCGCAGGTGCGTTTTGTAAATATGTATATATGTTGAACATGTTGTAGAATTATATACATATATATATATACACATATCATGTACATGCACCGAAACTGGAATAGTCAGTGAGAGTGCTGAGTTTCTACCCATACGCGCAGAAACGTGAACACAGAATTGACTCATGCCATAATATTTTCATCATGTGTGGAAAGGAATTGATTCCGTTCTCTTTTGGAGGAAATACCCTCCCGTAATCAAACATGGCAATGGACAATTCCCTGTAAATGGAGGTCTTAATGGGACATGTACATCATCTATTGTTAATTGATGATTTTCCATTGCCATGTTTGATTACCGGAGGGTAATTCAAAATGTCATCAAATATCTACGTCCTTCGAACACTGAAAGGATTAAAGCAAGTGAGACGCCGGCTATTGCAATGGCCATGGCAGTGTAATGAATCCTTCCCCAGCTCAAGAGTGGCTTTTCCCATCATTTATAGATGATTTCCCATTAAAACCTCCATTGCCATCTTGACCCATGATGCCCCAAAGCCTACACCGCTGGCTTGTTCCCCAGACGCCTCGTGAATCTGCACGGAGCCTCACTCCGCGACTGTCCGGAGAAATCGATGGATTTCACAGGATTTCTATGGAAAATCATTGCTGCCATGGTTGGTGGTTGACCTACCATCTTGAAAAATGTGAGTTCGTCAATGGGAAGGATGACATCCCATATATGGAAAATAAAATTCATGTTTGAAACCACCAAGCAGATTGGTTTATGGGATTTATATAAAAGCCAACACATATATGGAAAATCTCCATATCATCCCTTATTCAGTGGGTGATCTCCCGGAAAAAAGTTCGAACTTTTTTTCATTGGGTCTGCGCGAGCGCGCCCCCACAAGCTTATTTTTGGGTACCTACAAGGTGGTGCCTCATAGTTAGCTAAGCTGGTTTATAACTCCAATAACTTGGGTTTATGGTAGTATATAACTATACTTAATGGAGGTTATAAACTAACTTAAAACTGGGTGGGCACGAACTGGTAGGGGCCCGCGCGCGCGCTCGGACCTAGGGGAAAAAATGTTTAGAATTTAGGCGTTGGCTGAGTACGATCCTTTGCAGTTATGATCATGTCCACTTTTCGCGGAACCTGGTTCCATATATTCATTGTGGTTTCCCCTTCCATTGATGGCCCTTGCAGCAGGGTTCGCGGGGCAATGTCGTGGATAAACAAAGAAGTTGAACCGACCAGTGCAAATGAACTCATGATCCATAGATGTTTCAAGATGCTTTAAGATCTTTAAGATCTTTGAGTTAATGTCTTCCCATGTTTTCCCGTTGAAAACGATGAAATTTGCAAAATGGGTCACAGCAAATGGCAATGACCCCCGCCACAAGTCCTCACCTTAGCGCGTGCAACACTTCCCAGTTTTATTGGAACTGGTATAAAAGTATCAACCGTTACCAACCCCATTTTTGGAGGTGTACATGCGACAGTGATCTTAGAGCATTTCTTTCATTGCTGGTGGTTTCGATACATCCCCAATGTTTCAAACCACAAACCAGGATGGAAAAATCTCAATTCGAACTCTAAAAAGAAATGCTAATACATTCCACCCGGGATGTATCTCATATTATGGGGAGGGGCAAGGCCTAAACCATCAATCCTACCAGCTAGGTGTGTCTGATTGAAGAAAACAACAAAATTGAAAGTCCCCTGATTTTATTTCAAATTGAAAGCGGCAAACATACGTAGTGAATAATTGTAAAGTCGAGATTCTTTGGACAAACCCATCTCCATGTTTTGTTGGTGAAATCCCCTTCAATCCACGTGTTCGATGGTTAAATTGGTCACATGTGTTTTTCTTGTTTATGGTACTGTACACTCTCTGTGTCCATCGATTTTGATTTGACTTGGATCCCCGTTTTTTGACATAGTTCAATTTCCCCATAAGTTCATGCTTAAACATATCGTGTTGAATTCTACAATATCCAGCATTTTTTTGATGGTTCAACATGGTTAAACATGGTTAAAACATGGTTCATCCACAATTTCCACCATCTTTTTCATAGTTAAACATAGTTAAATCATGTTCAAGCCCCACTGTTGGACGTTTTTCCCCAGCCTGGGCAGCTAGGCCCCCCGGACTCCCCCGTGAGCGGCACGCGCTCGCTGAAGTCGCTGCGCGTGGTGGAGTGGAAGGCGGGCTCCGCAAGGTGGGACACCTGGCGGGTCGGCCCGGCCGGCGAGTTTGGGGTCCTTCAGATGGAGGGCTTGGGGATCTTGATTTTCATAGGATATAAAATGGTATTAATACCATGTGTATAAATGGTATAAATATTGATTTATCTTCATATTTATGGTATATGATTTTCATAGGATGAATGTATGATATAAAATGGTATACACATGTATACATGGTATAAATGTGGATCCAAACATGGGATTTTGATGGGATCTCTGGCTGAATAAACCCTAGCCCTTGAAGTTCAATGAGAACTACTGACAGTCGTTCATAAGATTTTAAGCGGAACAATCTATGGTATAAACATGTACCGTCCAACCCGGACGTTGCTCCACACTTACAATCATCATCATCATCATCATCATCATTTTCATCATCATCATCATCATCATCAAAATCATAATGGATCATAATGGATCACAGATAATATATACATTTATAAATATTGAAAGTTCACCGACATGGCATTTCAAACATAAAAAAAACTTCCGCTTTTTCGCGGCACGGAGCAACGTCAGGGTTTTTTTACCGAACATGTATAAATGGTAGAAATTGGTTATCTTTCTAAGGCTCCCACTATGGTTATCTTATGGTTATCTTGATGGCTACAATGGAATATCAGATTTATGGGATTTTGATGAAGTTTTTTTTGGAGTGGGATAGAAATGGAAACATGGTGACTTAATATGACTTAATGGGGCCCCAAGTCTCAGGTTGTAGAATAATCTTTGAAGATAACAGAGAAACTGGCAATGCATTGATGAATTAATCATCCATTATAAAAGATAAATTGGAAACTCCTCATTGGTGTGTTTTGAGTTTGAAGTTCTAACACACTTTTGGGGTCGTAAGATAGAACCTTGAACCATTATACATGGAACTTGCCTTGATTGATTGGGTTGTAAGATTTTCAAGATTGTGTAAGATACTGTATATTAAATGATATGATATTAAATGTATTTAATTGGTGTGTAAGAATTGCTCTGTTGTAATAATAGGATATAACTCCAAAACGCTCAGTGTGGGGTATAAAGTTGGGCGAAATCCTGCGAACCGGGTGGGATGACTGGAAAATTTCGAACTACCCTCTGGTGATTTTTGACCGTTCTTTAAAAAAATGTGATTTTCCAGTTCACTGCGTTATATTACCAGAGGGTATGTCTATGCAATCATCAAGCAATTTTCGGATTCTGCCCCAGCAGCTGCTAGACCTATTTAGGATTGTGGCTCAGGTGCCACAGACTATCTATATTGTACAAGATGTTGACCCCAAACGATAGCCAAGTTAGTTTAGGGTAAGTATGGTTTCTAGTCCATACATCTATACTTAATAGTTAATTGTGTTTATATATATATATTAAGTTATAACTAGGAGGCCACACCCTGTATACACTAGAATACACTATCAACTATATAATATTGTAAGTATCAACTCTGAGTGCCATGTTCCGATTACCCGACATACCAGCCTCAGTCACTGCGTACGAGTCGATTACGTGGGGGAAGTGCGCCGTTTCTATAGGCATACACACGCACGTACATGCATATCTGTATATATATATTGTATATAATATATATATATTGTATTATATGTAATACATTATAATATATATATATGTTTATATTGCATTATACATATATAATTAAATTGCACACAGCATGAAGATGTATGAAGTGAAGAATGATATATTCGTAATGATATCATGTATGTACAACCTCCGTTGTCAACCACACCTCCCTTGTCGACCCATCGAGGCTGGACCTCTTCAACTGCTGCTTGCTGCCATCTCCTTTCATACGCGCTACCTGGAATCACTCCACCATGACCGGTTCTTCAAACATGGAGCTGCTGTGGAATTGGAATTGCCATGTTGCAGCAATAAACATCATCAACTGTCAATCCCAGATAAATTACCAGCAATTTTCCTTGGTGAAGTCCCCATTTTTGTTGGGTGAATCGCTCGTCCCAAAGCCTGAGTGGGCTTCAGGTACGGTCACGGCTTCCCGCCTCGGGCTGTATGGTACAAGGTGGTGACTCACCAGTTCGGTTTGTTGATCAACACATGAATACTATAGATATGTATATATACCTTATATATACTATATATATATACTATATATATACTATTTATATATATATATACTATATATATACTATATATATACTATATATATATATACTATATATATATACTATATATATACTATATATATACTATATATATACTATATATATACTATATATATACTATATATATACTATATATATATTATGTATATATGTAATTATATTAATTATATGTCTACCATGAGCCATAGTTACAAACCAAATCAGCTTGTTCGCCAGGTCTATGTTGCCGCAATGGATGCCTTTGGTGGGTTGATTTGAAGGAAATCTACAGGAAACAACCACAAACGAAAACACACGGCCCATGGATATGGGTGGCCCGGGTGGCAGTCCGATATCATTTGTTAACCATTTGAATCCCTATTGACCACGGTCAAGAAATTATTGTTCATTCCTTTTGCACATGTGTTTATTGTGAAGATAGAGACACATATAAAGCCATGTATCAACAATGTTACATGTGTCATGATGTATTACAGCAAATGATGAGTACCGTTTGTATTGCAGTTCTCAATTATGGATCTCTACCAATGTATGTATTGTACACCTATAGCTTACATGTGGATGTACGGTCAGCAGCCTCATCCCCATATCAACGGGACCTGACCGACAAATATACATGTATATACATATATACTATACATACAATTTTCACATACACATATACATAGACATACATATAGACATAGACATATACAATCATATACATATAGATATACATATAGATATACATATAGATATACATATAGATATACATTCTTACATATAGATATACATATCGACATTTTTTTTCAATATACCAATGTTTTTTTGTCCTCCCATCGTGTGGCCACCGATAGACATCTGAGCTAATGGACTCGAAGGCTGCCTGGGTTCGTGCCTGCGGGCATGAACATATCAGAAAGTTCCATATCTATTAATCAACGCATTTCTCTCCATAATATTACAATAGATCTAGTTAAGTTGATATAATATTGCAATAGATCTAGTTAGGTTGATTGATATAATATACATATGTATATATATATATAGATAGATTACTTTTACACACGCATATATGTATGTAACATATACATACATATACTCAGTACAAACATATGTATGTGTATATATATATATAAAGCCATATATGTGTATACCGTATACATACCAAGATAAGCAGATATCATTACTAGGAAATCAACTGGTTGGTTGAAATCTCAAGCCATGGGGGATGGGCCCCCAATATGTGGCCGCTTCCGGTAGGACTTGGTATGGTAAGACAGCTTGCAGGTAGACATCTAGGTGCAACCTCAATCAATCTGTCAAAGTGTGTATCTCTATTCACATGTGTGTGTATATATATATATACGCAATCAAGCATATGTATATATATATATATGTAAACACATATTGCGCAAACCGTGAATGTGAAACAAAGTGTGTATATAATATACATATGAATGTGAAACAAGGTGTGTATTATAAAATCATATACATATATAATAATATTTATATATACATAATAATATATATATATATGTCATATTATATATACATAAATTGTGTATTATATATTATATTTACACATAAATTGTGTATAATATAATATATATAACATTTAATATACCTAATATTAATAATATATATATATTATAATATATTAGATATTATGTATATGTATATATATATATCAACTGTTCAAGACATGTCCTGGTTGAGAAATCACCTGGATCCTCCCATCCACTCCCACGGTCCTCGATGGTGGAATCGTGTTCCCAGGCCACCTGTCGAAGCGACTCGTCCCGAAGCATGGAAGGTTCAAGGGAAAGTTTATCAAAGTAGATACATAACCACATAAACCCACATAATGAATCGTAATTTTATATGAACTGAAAACTTGTATTTATGGCTTCATGAAGGGTTTTACAGTCCACGGAGTGGGTTGTATATCAAACGTTCCCTGCAACCAATTCTGGCAGTGGGCCCACCCTAAACCAATGGAAATGGCAAGTGGCCATAGCGCCCCAAAATGGGAACCTTTTTGGACTTTTTTTCGCCAGCCCCAATTGATATCATCGGACCGAAAGTGGACGGAAAGTGGAACAGCTAATCGAAACCCAGCATCACAGTTCACTAGTTATAAAATGTGATAAGTTATATACATTTACATACCCATTATATCCCATTATTATATATACATATATTATATTATTATATATTATTATACATTATATTCCATTATATTATATATTATATATATATATTATATATACATGATACAGTAGTTCTCCACTTACTAGCACCTGCAAATAGCCGAAACTTCGTGGCCATGTGGGGATGATCCCCCGAATCCCATGAATTTCCAGTGACGGAAATTACGTGGTGAGGTCACAATAGTAAACTAACATAGCTACTGAAAATGGCCATTTATAATGATGTGTTTCCCATTAAGAATGGTGATTTTCCATAGCTATGTTAAATTACCAGAGGGTAATCCATATCATCCATATCATCCAAATCCCATCAAATCCCCATCCTATCCCAGGTATACAAAAATCAAATGAATTCCACAAAAAAAGTCGCACTTCTGGTGGTTCAATGCTGGCATAGGGCCACCCGCCTTCAGTGGTGGTCCTGCCACCTGGCATCATCCCGGAGCCCGAATGATGCAATGGCAATGCAGTGATTACACCAGGTTCTTACATGAATACAGAAATAAATACATCAATAACATTAAAATTTCTATCAAATTACAAAAAATATATAAATATATCATTACTGAGTTACATGTTGTTTTATCAAAATATAAATACAAATCAACAAATCAAACAATCAATGCAAATATCCTCTGGTAAGTAAACAGTTTGCTCTGTAAAACGATTTAGTTCGCATTTGACATGATGATTCTCCAAAAATAACTATGTTAAATTATCAAAGGGTACCTCCCAATAATTCCATTTATATCCTGATGTAATCGCATTAAACAAATACCTCACTAGCTCTGAATATCAGGTATATCCATGCTCCACATTGCCATAACGGTATAACATTGATATCCACATGAACAATTGATTAATATATTATGTTAATTATGTTTGATTAAATTTGATCATGGATATTAAAAACAAATCCCATTAACCTTTATCTCCCATCAATAACATAACAACCAATTGAATCCGATCCAATTCCAACGGCCCAACGGCTTATTTTCCGCGCCTGACACGCCATCAGTTGCTCAATGCGCTGACGATGCTCACAGAGCCGCCTGCCGCCGAAAAATCCCACTATGTCGCACCACCAATGAGGATGGTCGATGGTTTCTCAGCTTCTCTTCAAAACTCGGGGTTGTAACTGTGAATGTAGCCTTGAAGATCCGTGAAAAAAACATTGAGGTTGGAAAATGCTGAACGAACAATGGCAACATATGCATTGTGAAACCCCATCAAATCCCACGACCTGGATGTGAAGACGTAGATGACCCGCTTTGTGGTTCTTTCGAAGAATTTTGCAGCGGCAAAACGCTGCATTTTTTCCCTTGCCCCTGTGTTTTCAGATGTGACCCTGGTAAATGCTCCCTTTCAAAAGGTGGCTACCGGTGGTATCTGCGAAGTGATTGAGTAGATCACCCAGATTGTGATGTCGCAGAAAGAAATTGGTCCCCATGATCTCCCAACGTTCCCGACATTATAATTGATTCTGGCTCCATAATTGTTGCACATCTACCGATTCTCATATATCTTCTGTTCGTGTTGAGTGGCTGTCCCCATTTCGTTGGCAAAACATCTCATCATCCCAGAAATAAAATGGCATCAGGTAACCGCACCATGCACGCTCCCGCGGATACACTAAGAGGAGGTCGTCAACCGCCTCAGCCGCTTCAAGGGAACTGCCGTATCAGTGGGTCGGTTCATGGTCGGTTCTCCTCAAATGTCCAACGAAAAATCTATGCAAATTTAGTATTGAATAGTATTGAGGTAAACTTAAGAATAAATCATCCTCAATTGTGGTTTGCTATTGGATACCGCTATTTGGAATGATGTAAATGACGCCAAATGGTTGGTTTCTCTGCAACATTACTGTACATTACAGGGACCCAGGCACAATCACCGCCCAATCGTCGTGTGCGCAGCCCTGTCCTGGGCTCAAGCTCAATCGATTGAGGAAATTGAGGAATTACATTGCCAATCTTGGACACCCAAAAGGAACCTGTTTTTCTTTTAAATGCTGGTTAGTCGGTTCTCATTTGTGGCAACTTTTTTTTCAGTACTGTCCATCCTGCTGGTTTCCTCAGAGGATCAGGTGGATTTAGATCCCAACATCTCATGATTCACAAAATTCTCCGAATATCTTGAGCTCCTTCGAGCTGGTTGAAGGTGCTCAGAGGGTTGATTGGTGGTTATTTTGGGTGACCCGGGATTCCAACCTACCAATCAACCACTGCTTCAACAAAGGTCAAGACTAACAAAGAGATGGAATTGTCACAGACTCATAAGCACTGAATTTGATAATATTTGATACAAAGGAGTGTATACACAGGTAAATTCCCCTTACATGGGTGGTTCAGTCTCCATATTTTCTTAATGCTACACTTGCTGTCATGGAGCCCATACCATCCATCAGTTGGTTTACCCATTCATCTCCTATGAACTGCCGCATCAGTTGGTTTCCTTACCTATACATATTGTTATGCCCCATTTATGGCCCATTTATGTGTTCATTTTCTATGATATTTTACTCAAACATGCAAACATGCTTAAAGCGTCTTAAACCTTATGCTGTACTTCGGGGTGCAGTTTCAGTTGTGAGTGGAGATATAACCATAATTGTAGGGGTTATATCAAGTTATATCCCACCTTAGGGGAGTTCCTACCACGGATATACCATGTTATACCCATCAACATCGCCCTCAAAATCGCCCTAACTGCACACCCAAGTATCCAATAAGGGCGAAGTAGGTCATACACCCATCATATCACCATTTATAAGCTATACTAATTATATCCCATTGATTCACCATGTTGTCCATTTCTATCCCATTATAACCCCAAAAAAACTTCATCAAAATCCCATAAATCTGATATTCCAATGTATCCATCAAGATAATAAGATAACCATAGTGGGAGCCTTAGAAAGATAACCATTTCTTCCATAACAGATCAAGATAACCATAACATAACTGATTTATGATAACTCGAACTGCACCCATCACGGAGCCAAAAAGATCTGCGGGCCCGAACAGTTGCACGGCCACGCCCACCGAGGCCGAATCGCACTGGGACCACTTCCTGGCACAAAGAAATGTGGAATTCATGGGACTTACCCTCTGGTAATTTAACATAGCTATTGAACATCACCATTTATAGTGGATTTTCCCATTGAAAATGGTGATTTTCCATAGTTATGTTAGTTTACCAGAGGGTAACCAACAAAAATGATGGATTTTCCATGGGAGTTTATGAAGGCATGAGGGCAAAACTTCACCATCATTGCAGCCGGGCTCCCCGAACTTCGGGGAGGCCGCTGAGGTCGTCAACTTTCATGGGCGACGTTGCTGAAAAAATAGCCGTGTGGCGTAAAACAAAACACCAACCAACCCCCCTGCCAAAACCCATAGGATCCATGTATGGTATATATGCTAACATTGGGGGTATATTGATGGTAAATGTTACCATATATAGCATACATGGATCCTATGGGAAAGGGATCTTCCAATAAAATGATGCCTACCAAATGAGCCCATGTATTTGAAACAAAAAGTGGCTGTCGATTCTCGATGGTAAAGTCTCTGCAAGGATGAATTGGTTGTCATGGAAGGCCAGGAGGGATTTATGAATAGGGCGACTCTTTTCAGCACCAACAACCCATTTTCGAAAGGTAAATCTTAACCATCAATTCTTAGAGGTATCACCGAACCGGGGTAAAATTCACTGATGAATAATCAGTTATTTTCCGGATACAGATTGCCGTACCCAGGGTGTGAAACGCACCAGGCTTTGGGGGGCTTTGGGGAGGAAGATACCATGGGCCAGTTGGAGCTAGGGGAAATCCCACAGGTTAGATGGGTTGCCTTGGAAGTTGTTGCCCATATCGCCGGCCGCGCGTTGATGTTGCAGTATCAAAATAATCAGAGATGTTCTCTCATGTTCCTCCATGTATGGTTCGCTGACCCATTTTAGCCATGGGTTTTCTGACTTCAATGCCAATGCTTCCAACATTTAAGGGGTACCTGATGTTCAGTTTTCAAACAAAGAAAAAATACAAGAAATACTATCACCAGGTACCGTGCCTGTTTCGTTCGATGCCTGCAGCCAAGGACAGGTTCCTCAGGCACACTGAACTGGAGGGGCTTTAAGTGGCAAAGACCCCTCAGCTGCTGATCACCCTGCCGGGACATGATTTGAAGTCTGAGTCTCGTAGAAATGGGGCGGTTCCAACTCCCTCAAGATTGGCTAAAAAGAATGTCTATAGTATGTGCATGTATGTATACATATGTTACATTAAAAATTATGTTACATATATGACATATATATATATAATATGTATATATATATATATTAAGTATAACATTCCACTCATTATGTCAATAATCTAGATGTCTATAATCATATTCATCAGTATAACATGATGATAATGGTCACTTAATTTTCATGTTCCATCAATAATATTCCATACAGACGTAATATCATATTAAGAATTTTATTTGTGATATACAGTATATATATACATAACATACATACATATATGTATACAAATATATGTACATAAGTATATAACAAAAGCTGATACATGCATCCACCATAAAAATGGAAGCTCCCCCACACATCTCCCCTCGGCTTTCTTCGATTCTGTCCACCAGTCACCACTGCGCCCAAGCAACGTGATGCGGCCAAATGCTGTGCCCACTACGAAAAACCTCGCATTCTAAGGGGCTTAAGAAGCCCCCAAGGATTGGGCTTAATCACCAAAAAAGTTGCCTTATTTGGTGGGTGAGAGACCTTTAATAAACAATTTACCACCAAAACAATGTAAAACGACTCATTTTACCCCTGGGTGAATTGTGTGTTGCCACTGCTATGGCGGGTAAACAATTGAATCACGTGACTTTCAGGGATAATAGTGCACACACCAAAAAAAACACATGAGGGAAAAAAATCACTATGTAACCATCACATTGTGGTAAAAAAACACATCATATAAATATGTGATACCTCTGCATCCCCCTACTATAGCAATCCAGTAGCCATTGTTTATGGTGAGGTCGCTGTGAGGCCCATAAAATTTGCCCAGCGACAAGGGCAGCTTCATGACAAGGGCATCCAGAAATCCCCAACAAAAACAATCGGAATTATATATCTAGGAAACATATGGGACATCCATGGACATCCCCTATAAATATCTATATTTATGGTGTCTTTAATGGCAAAAAATCATCTATGTACAAATCTGAGATTTTCCATCGCCACCAGCTGTGATTTCCGGAGGATAAATAACCTGCCCATCCAAGCAAGGTCTGGCAGCTATCCATGATTGGAAACAAACATGAAAAACCTCTTCACAATTCCCCAAAATCCCCAAAAATCACCTTTTTCTGTATGTCAAACAATACAAACACATCTATAAACAATCACAGATATATCAACAGTCACAATATATATATATATATATATACAGTATATATATACAGTATATATATATATACAGTATATATATATATATAGTATGTGTACGGTACAGAAAAAAACATCAATACCAGTACTAAAAGCCCACCATCCTGGCTACAGTCGCCACCTGTGGCTCCACACTGGCCAACCACCAAGCGCCCACTGCGCACCAGCGCGGTCAAGACCAACTCACCCTGCTCTTCGCCGGCCTTGTCCACCTGTGGGATGTGAGAAAAAAACCAAAAAAAAACGGAAGATGAAATTTTGGTGAGATACTGGGTGATTTGAATACCTTTACCCATCTACAATGATCTAAAATTGTGAGATACTGGGTGATTTGATTTAGCTAAAAAAACCATCCAAAATGGCGATATCATGGGTGATGTAACTAAAAAAAACATCCAAAATGGTGAGATAATGGCTGATTTGATTTAACTTTAAAAACATCTAAAATGGAGATATACTAAGTGAAAATCGGATCTGAAACCATGACTATATAATGAAGAGATTTCATGGGATATGGAATATACAGCCAACAAGATGATGTCTTTTATATTTCAAAGGGTTGCTTCCAATGCCCTAGGTACAACATGGGGAAACTGGGTAGTAAAGGGACACATTTATCACCCTTGTGGTTAGCATTTTACCAACACTCGGTTGGAGCAACCTTGATTGATGAGGACATATTGGATATGAAGACAATAATAGGGGATTTTTCATGGGATACGATGTGGTTCGGGATATAAACCGTAAGCCCAAGTTGATATGACATTTGGATGTGGAACTGAAAATTGGTACTACCAATCCCAATTTATTTTCATTTAACCGGAACAATGATTACAAACCATCAAATTTGGGGTAGCATATGATCATATGTATATGTTCAGATAGACCCATTTTCATACATACTAACATTTCTGCTCTCATGGTATATTGCACAACCCCAATATGCTCCATATATATATATATACATATGGTATTTACATAATTTTAAATAAACCCAAAGCATGACCAACCTGATTCAAATGTATGTATATACAGCATGCAGGAATCATAATCATAGATGTGTGTCCCATTTCCTCTATGTATACGGGATTTCCAACTGCAAGGTTTGATTACCGAAGGGTGAGTGCTATTGACTGATGCATTCAGGTGTTACCTCCCGAATGAAACTTAATTACTGGTTGCTGGTGTTGAACCCATCCCAGGAACATACTAATCAGTTGTAATCATCATCTGGTGTAGGATGGAACATTCAACATGTTCAAAAACCACCGGCAAGTCAATATGATCTATAGCAACTTTGAATTTGAACTGAACAAGATAAACTAAGATATGTGTGTTCTTTTGTTTCAGCAATTTTATGAGAGGTTGGTGTTTTCAAGCGGTCAGTCAGTTAAAATCGTCATCCCAAATATGATGAAGACACAAAATCACATTGAAACCCACCAACCGGATCATCATCAAATCCCAAAGTTTTGCTTATACAAATCCCCATAGAAACACCAATGAAATCCCAAAGTTTTGCTGCTTAAATTCCCCATTGAATCACCAATGTTTCTTGGTTTCTATGTTGGTTAGATTGATTCTGATTTGAATCTAATGAATTGGATTCTAATGACAAACTCTCCATTAGATTCATGTTTCTTGGTTTCTGTGTTGGTTGAGAGTTTGTCATTGAATCGAATGAAATCCCCAGTGAAATTCCCATTGAAGATTCCCATTGAAGATTCCCCATATGTTTTCCTGTGAATCCCCCAGGAAATTCCCAGCGGAATTTGAAAAAACGGCGCCTCCAGGATCAACGCAACGGCGTTGGGAGGCGCATGGACGCCCTGCAGAAAGTCAGTCCTCTTGTGCCTGGATTTAGCGTGGAAAAATCATGAAAAATCTGGATTTAACCATCCAAAATGGTGATTTAATGGGATCTAATGGAATTTAACCAACCAAATTTTCGGACCATGCAAGAAGAAGCTGGGATTTAACTGACTTAACATGATTTATATAACCATCGAAAATACTTATGGACATTTCAGCACTCAAGTTTGATGGGAACCACTCAACATTGGGATTTCACCACTCAAAGTGAGGATCAAACACTAAATATGATGATGGATTAACTAAGGGAAAGTAATATGTATAGAATCGGATCCATGTTCAACACCAGAGCTAGTATTCAAATCTTTACTTTCTCTATACATTTTAGGTATTCCCTACAGATTGAAGATTTTCCCAGCACGAACCCAAAGGTGTACGCATACTACATTACATATGGCTTTCCTGCAGATTCTCCCTTCAATTCTGGGAATGCAACATTTACTACCTGGACAAAAGTGAAAGTCATTGGAGATCGAAACATCCCATTCACACTCCCTCATGGTACACCCACGCAAACCTCATATGTACTACTGTACACCATCCACAGTTTTGCCAGACATGGGTGGCATGAACCGTTCAAAGCTTGAGTTTTATGCCATTGGATGATCACATGATCGAGATCTGAAAGCGCAAACATATTTCATGATAATCCATGATACATAATTATATTTACTGATATTTACTGTATACATGATACATGAGAACGTCAATTGATGTAAACAAATAGTTGGGTCAAAGACCTTCGTTCATATTACCCACGGTTACCCACAGCCCAGGCGTCCGCACATGTTCTGGGTACTGGCGGCCTGAGATATGAAAAATGACCAGGATATATGCCTGGAGATTGACAATTATATGGCAGTGTGTCAAAACCTTGTACCCCTGGTGAACATCAAAATAGCTGGGATTTATGGATGTTCATCCCCCTAAAAATGGTATTAATAGGTATTGATTCATAGCCATATCTGGAGAATCCTGTTGGGCCCTTCCCATCTTGACCTGTGTTTTCTTTAAAGAAACAGAGAAAATAAGGTAACCATCCGAGAAAGTGTTTGTTTCATATCTTTTTGAATCTCCCCTGACTGAGAAGTTCTATATAATTCCCTCTGCCACACAAACATGGCCTTTGGAAAATCCTCAACTTTGATGCACATATCATCTAGATGAATCAACATCACTGAGAGGGTCTTCCTTTGCCATTCTGACCCATTCTTTGTTTACTTGAGAGATCTTGAGAGCATTTCAAACCACCCCTGCTGGCAACCCTTCTTTTACTGCCGCAAACAGCTGCAAGGAAAGCTTGAGAGCTTATTCGTCAGCCAGTGCTTGGCACAGACCGATCGTTAAGCTTGCCTTCACATCGCGACCCTCTTCGGACAGAGCATTTTTTTCGTGACACCAGTCCAACTAGATAGGAAATTAGATGGGTAATCATTAGTCATATCATCCCACACCTTGGATTTCCTTAAGGGAACCTCCCCCCAAAATCTTCATTTACAGTCATCGATTCCCCAAGTCGTGGATTTGAGCAAATCCAGGGAAATTCATGACCAATATGGCCCATGTCCCCAGAGGCTTCGGCCATGTGAAGGTTCTACAGATTGGCTATGGCTCAAAATTCCGAAACAAAACTTCAAACAGGGTGAACATGGTGCCCATGTTAAGGTTGAGTAGTGAACAGGACCGGCCATTTCTAAGTTGATTCCACTCCCATCTTTTGAGATTTGTTGCCGCTGTCGGAATGCCAGTGGACCTGCGACCTTCATCGACCTTCACTTGACACGCCTCATCCCACCTGGTACCTGATGGCAGCGTTGCTGTTTGACCCAGAACCAGCTGGATCATCCAACATCCTCCACTCCCAGAACTTGAATTGCAGCTCAATGGTTCCAATATGGGGGTGTCCTAAGTCATAGGTACCCCAATAGCTGGATGCTTTATATTGCCCCTACTAAAATGGATGATGACTGGGGGTACCCCTATTTTAGGAAACCTCCATATTTTCCATGCAACTGGATTTCTCCGTCATCAGCAGCTGGGCGTCCCCACCGTGCCGATGTCATTTGTTGCTGGGAGCATTGGGGCGTGCCCCAAGGCGCATGATCTGCTTGTTGCCAAACCTCAATGGCATCCCGGGTCCCTCTTTGAATGGCATAAAGGGGCGACCCTTTACCAATCGGGTTGGTTCTCCGTTCTTTAAACCCGTTTGAGAATATATTATATTAATATATATATATATTATATTAATATATATATATATTCTATATATATATGATATATATATATCATATGTGTACATACAAATGTATTATATACATTTATATATACATATATTATTAACTTGCTACTACTCTAACCAGGTATCTTTCTAAAATCTCATAGACAAAGTGCCTCATACCCAGTTGAGCGGTATCCCCAGTGGTGGTGAGTCGGTGCCCAGTGGCTTGAAGGTCTCTTCGCGATGGAGCTTGAACTTGTCAGGATAGCTCACGAAACACTTCACAGGGCCAAACTTTTTCCTGGCACAATGAAAGGAGGAGGAGGAGGAGTAGGAGTAGTAGTAGTAGTAGAAGTAGTAGTAGTAGCAGCAGTCGCAGTAGCAGTCGCAGTAGCATTAGTAGTACTAAAGTAAGTTTTACGAATAGATAGTGGTGAGAAGGGGGTGCACTTCATCAAAAAAATGAATATTGGACCATTCCACCGTTCAAATCAATTTCACCATTCCACCAACAGGAAACAAACCCCTAAGACTCGGCTGATTGAGGTTCCCCTTGGCAGAATTCTGACAGGCCAGTCCCAAAATAGTGAATGAACAAGTCTTGCGTCTTTTGGGTTTGTCTGAAAATAGGGTATATTCCCAATTATAGCCATTTGATAGGGATAATTTGATCAGCAAAACCATTGGGTAAAAAGGGGTACACAACATTTTCAGACAAACCCTTTTTGAGGCTTATCGTCTGATAATCAAACATGGCTACCGCGCGAACATGTTCCATCGTGTAAATGCGCAGCAGTGGAGGAGGTTTGTGATCCACAAATCTGGGAGAATCGGCCTCTTCGGGATGATGATCCTACCAGCTTGCCTTGTACCCATAGTTATTGAACAGAATTAGCCATGGAAAATGGCCCATTTGTAGATGATTTATGATTAGATGCCGATTGAAAAAACGATTTATAGATGATTAGATTCCGATATAGATGATTTATGATATGATTAGATATTCTAAATGGATCTAAATGGTGATTTTTCAGAGCAACGTTAAATCACCGGAGGGTTGGCTGTTTTTCATCACCTAGCGCCGGCAGTTGAACAGCCAAGCGGCAGCTTGTGGTCTACAAAGCTTGACTTCGACTGCGCCGAGTTTATGGTCGACTCGTGGGGAGTATAGGTTTTACTGTGGAAAATGAGGAGTTACAATTACACTAACAGAGTCAAACAAATGAAGAATTGGAAATGAGAATACTAATTGACCACATTGAACCACTGGATTCTTGAGGCTTTCCCATTTGTTATACATATATATATATACATATATATATTATATATATATGTATTTACATATATATATATATATATATGTATATTTAATACATATTATATATATATATATGTTTTGACGAACAAGCCCAGGGGGAATGGTGGGCCTGTGGACACCCTGGACACAGGGACACATGGACAGACACTGGGCCACATTGGAAAGCAAACATCACGAAAACATTTTTGGGGTGTCATTGCGCCATAGACAAAATGGGTTGCCAATCGGAACCCCTTAAGGCATGTCGGGTTCAAAATGCGTGTCATTTGTCATTTCGTGTCAAGAATCCTGACCATACAGGCTCTTCACCTTGCGATCACATTAAAACTGTGGTCCAAACCATACCTCATAGCTTCCAATTGGTGACCTTTGCTAAGGGTCTCCAATTAGCCATTCCTTTGGTGCTGTATATATCATATCTACCATAAACCCTATGGTTATAATGTGTATATATATATATACATATTATACATATATATATATATAGTATATAATTGTATATAATTGTATATATATATATGTACATATGTATGGATATATATATATATATACTGTGTATATATATATACTGTATATATATACTGTGTATATATATATATATATTGTATATATATAATATATGGATACATATGGTGTATATATATATGGCATGTATATACATTATAATAGTTAGAAACCAACTGCGCCAACTCGGGGGCCCCACCTTGTTCTATGTCCTGATACACCAAATGGGAAAACAGAAACCGATTCCATCATGTATCATCTGGTGTCAAACTTCAACAGACTTCCAAATTCCAATAGTCAAATGATCTCACCTATACAGGCCTGCGCCGTACACTTACATCATAACATGATTTACTTTATTAAATCAGAAAAAACAACAATTTGAGGGTCCATTTCTACCCCAGCCTCGGAGAACTCGGGGAACATCTCGTAGCAGCCCACGGTGTTGGACCAAATGGAGCGGCTGAGACAACGATGCCTGATCCATGACAAAGACCGTCCTGGGTGTTCCAAAGCTATGTTCATCTCATTTTCCCGCCTTGAAAACATATCAACATTAAATTCAACACTTAAATGATCAATCATTCCTCCTATTCCTCCCAAATAGAAACGCTTTAGAATGGTTTAGATACGGTTGTAATTTGTTCTTCGCCATTTTTCGCATTTGAAAACATTACCGCTGGCGGCCTTGACGGCAACGCAGGCGCCGTGCTGGTCTCCATGGGCCACTTGGGCGCATCCGAGAAGAGGCCTCCGTCCACCTTGCGCAGGTGTTGCAGCTGCCTGATCCAACGTGGCAAACAAAAATCCTCCAGGGATTTTCCAGCTCAGCTTCGATGTAACATGTTATAGCGCCCAGTAAATATGGAGATAGTATGATGTATATAATATAATATAATATAATATAATACAATATAATATAATATAATATAATATTAAATTAATATATATATAATGTAATGTAATATAATATTATATAATATGTATATATAGTCATAGTATGTCATAGTCATGTATAGTAACTCTCAAATATAGAAAAGCAATTCCTACAAGAATAGTGATAAATTACTTTTCTAACTTCTTAGTAAACTAGTAAACCCAAACTTGGACGATCATACCACTAAGTAAGTGGTTAGTAAATGTTAGTGACTGGGGTCAGTTCACCCATTTAACGGGATAAACCACTTGAAGGTCTTACTAAACAGGGTTATTATCCACTTAGTATATCTTAATCTCATATCTACCATTGTATCTTAATCATCCTCAAACTACAGATACATGATATATCATTATCATATCTACCGTACACCCTATGATTCATTGTGATGTTTAAGGTTTCTATTCGCAATCCCTTGAGATTTTGTTATGGATTGGTTCAATTGAAGAGAAACTCCACAGCTGAAATCATGGTTTATACCATCAAAATGCGTGGGGGTTCCTGTAAATGGGGAAGCCGAGGGAAGCCTTTTTTTTTCTGTTAAGGATAGTACAAGATAGTACAAGACCTAATATATGACCTCCCTAGTAATCACAATTTGGGTATGTGTCAGCTCAGGTTTGGAGGCCTTGAACTTTGACCTATGTCCATCAGAAGAAATTGGTCCAGCGCCTTGTGGAGAAGGACGGCTCCTGAGAACCGGAGATAGGTGGAAAACCCATGGCTTCAGTGACGGACTAAACGCATGTTGATTTCAGGGACGGGTTCAACGTTGACATACTGTAGATGTGGGTTTCACTTTCGCAAAATGGCCTACAAATCTGCTGGGTGTTTCACATCTATATTAGTTTACTCTAGGTTAAGGGACCGGTATCATCATGTTCCACATGTTTTTGTTGAACATGCTGTTTTGATGTATTCATCGGCATCGCGGCATCCCCATTTCTTGGTGAGCATACAATTGCATTTTCTTGGGGGTTGTCCAGTTATCCTTAGATCTTTCTGACAACCTCCATGGTCTCTTTGATGACTGGCCTTGGATGTAGAGATGTACAAGTTGAGATTAGGTCTCGCAGGGATCGTCCAACAGCTCCATAGAGTTCCCGACAGGTTTTGTCAGTGAAACGTAGTGAATCTGATCATCTGATCTCGGACATCTCAGTAGCGGGCCCATTTTGAAATCAGTAGCAATAGCACAGAGTTAGTGAAGCAAACCCTGACGACTTAACAGTTGTGGTGCCTCCCTGTGCACAATTTGCCTTTCAACAAGTGCAACACCCATCACCAAATGCTCGCGATTTCGCTTATTTTCTATTCATCCAATGAAAATTCCGCTAGAAACCAACTAGTGGACATCTGCTGGACATTGAAGTTGGTTTCATTATCTTAATCTCCAATTTTGCTGGCGATATGATGCTGATGAAATTGCCATGACATCACGTTTCATACATACCAGGTGGTGCCCGATAGTTAGCTAAGTTGATCTAAGTTGGTTTATAACTCCACTAACTAGGATTTATGGTACGTATATATGATATATATATATACATATACTAATATATATGTATATACATATATAAATATAAATATAATATATATATATATACACTATATACATACATACATACCTGGAAAACTATATCCGCCGACCCCGGCTGCGCAAGGGGGAGCGCGCCAGGGAATAAGACAAGAATTTGCCACCGCCAGCTACTACTACTACTGCTACTACTACTACTACTACTGCTACTACTACTACTACTACCACCACTACTACCACTACTACCACTACTACTACTACTACTACCACTACTACCACTACTACCACTACCACTACCACTACTACTACTACTACTACTACTGCTACTACTACCACCACCACCACCACGACTACTACTACTACTACTGCTACTACTACTACTACTACTACTGCTGCTGCTGAGCAGCCACCAGCAGCAGCAGCATGGCAGACCAGCAGAAGTCAAATCCGCCGACCCCGGCCGACGGCAAGGGGGAGCGCGTCAGGGCAGAGAGGTTGGGGACAACAAGAAATACAACAACGGTTCTTGGGAAGCTTTCCAAAGTAGCTGAACAGCAACAGCAGCAAGCAGCAGGAGGAGGAGGAGATCTAGTGAGATTTCTAGTAGGATTTCAGAAGGGACGTTTCGGCCTCCGGGGAACCGGTTATTGCGACTGATTTTGCGTCATTTTCGGCACGAAATTTGGTGGTGTTTTGCTGTTTCGGCTGTGTTTCGAAAAAGGTGTCTGGCTGCTGGTTTCTGGCTTTATTAGAGGCAGCAGCAGCAGTCAAAATTGGAGATCAAAATTGGACAAAATTGGCTTTCTAGTGGGATTTCAGAAGGGACGTTTCGGCCTCCGGGGAACCGGTTATTGCGACTGATTTTGCGTCATTTTCGGCACGAAATTAGGTGGTGCTTTGCTGTTTCGGCTGTGTTTCGAAAAAGGTGTCTGGCTGCTGGTTTCTGGCTTTATTAGAGGCAGCAGCAGCAGTCAAAATTGGAGATCAAAATTGGACAAAATTGGCTTTCTAGTAGGATTTCAGAAGGGACGTTTCGGCCTCCGGGGAACCGGTTATTGCGACTGATTTTGCGTCATTTTCGGCACGAAATTAGGTGGTGTTTTGCTGTTTCGGCTGTGTTTCGAACAAGGTGTCTGGCTGCTGGTTTCTGGCTTTAGTAGAGGCGGCAGCAGCAGTCAAAATTGGAGATCAAAATTGGACAAAATTGGCTTTCTAGTAGGGTTTCAGAAGGGACGTTTCGGCCTCCGGGGAACCGGTTATTGCGACTGATTTTGCGTCATTTTCGGCACGAAATTAGGTGGTGTTTTGCTGTTTCGGCTGTGTTTCGAAGAAGGTGTCTGGCTGCTGGTTTCTGGCTTTATTAGAGGCAGCAGCAGTCAAAATTGGAGATCAAAATTGGACAAAATTGGCTTTCTAGTAGGGTTTCAGAAGGGACGTTTCGGCCTCCGGGGAACCGGTTATTGCGACTGATTTTGCATCATTTTCGGCACGAAATTAGGTGGTGTTTTGCTGTTTCGGCTGTGTTTCGAAAAAGGTGTCTGGCTGCTGGTTTCTGGCTTTATTAGAGGCAGCAGCAGCAGTCAAAATTGGAGATCAAAATTTGGCAAAATTTGCTTTCTAGTAGGGTTTTAGAAGGGACGTTTCGGCCTCCGGGGAACCGGTTATTGCGACTGATTTTGCGTCATTTTCGGCACGAAATTAGGTGGTGTTTTGCTGTTTCGGCTGTGTTTCGAAGAAGGTGTCTGGCTGCTGGTTTCTGGCTTTATTAGAGGCAGCAGCAGCAGTCAAAATTGGAGATCAAAATTGGACAAAATTGGCTTTCTAGTAGGGTTTCAGAAGGGACGTTTCGGCCTCCGGGGAACCGGTTATTGCGACTGATTTTGCGTCATTTTCGGCACGAAATTAGGTTGTGTTTTGCTGTTTTGGCTGTGTTTCGAAAAAGGTGTCTGGCTGCTGGTTTCTGGCTTTATTAGAGGCAGCAGCAGCAATCAAAATTGGAGATCAAAATTAGACAAAATTGGCTTTCTAGTAGGGTTTCAGAAGGGACGTTTCGGCCTCCGGGGAACCGGTTATTGCGACTGATTTTGCGTCATTTTCGGCACGAAATTAGGTTGTGTTTTGCTGTTTCGGCTGTGTTTCGAAAAAGGTGTCTGGCTGCTGGTTTCTGGCTTTATTAGAGGCAGCAGCAGCAGTCAAAATTGGAGATCAAAATTGGACAAAATTGGCTTTCTAGTAGGGTTTCAGAAGGGACGTTTCGGCCTCCGGGGAACCGGTTATTGCGACTGATTTTGCGTCATTTTCGGCACGAAATTAGGTGGTGTTTTGCTGTTTCGGCTGTGTTTCGAAAAAGGTGTCTGGCTGCTGGTTTCTGGCTTTATTAGAGGCAGCAGCAGCAGTCAAAATTGGAGATCAAAATTGGACAAAATTGGCTTTCTAGTAGGGTTTCAGAAGGGACGTTTCGGCCTCCGGGGAACCGGTTATTGCGACTGATTTTGCGTCATTTTCGGCACGAAATTAGGTTGTGTTTTGCTGTTTCGGCTGTGTTTCGAAAAAGGTGTCTGGCTGCTGGTTTCTGGCTTTATTAGAGGCAGCAGCAGCAGTCAAAATTGGAGATCAAAATTGGACAAAATTGGCTTTCTAGTAGGGTTTCAGAAGGGACGTTTCGGCCTCCGGGGAACCGGTTATTGCGACTGATTTTGCGTCATTTTCGGCACGAAATTAGGTGGTGTTTTGCTGTTTCGGCTGTGTTTCGAAAAAGGTGTCTGGCTGCTGGTTTCTGGCTTTATTAGAGGCAGCAGCAGCAGTCAAAATTGGAGATCAAAATTGGACAAAATTGGCTTTCTAGTAGGGTTTCAGAAGGGACGTTTCGGCCTCCGGGGAACCGGTTATTGCGACTGATTTTGCGTCATTTTCGGCACGAAATTAGGTGGTGTTTTGCTGTTTCGGCTGTGTTTCGAAAAAGGTGTCTGGCTGCTGGTTTCTGGCTTTATTAGAGGCAGCAGCAGCAGTCAAAATTGGAGATCAAAATTGGACAAAATTGGCTTTCTAGTAGGGTTTCAGAAGGGACGTTTCGGCCTCCGGGGAACCGGTTATTGCGACTGATTTTGCGTCATTTTCGGCACGAAATTAGGTGGTGTTTTGCTGTTTCGGCTGTGTTTCGAAAAAGGTGTCTGGCTGCTGGTTTCTGGCTTTATTAGAGGCAGCAGCAGCAGTCAAAATTGGAGATCAAAATTGGACAAAATTGGCTTTCTAGTAGGGTTTCAGAAGGGACGTTTCGGCCTCCGGGGAACCGGTTATTGCGACTGATTTTGCGTCATTTTCGGCACGAAATTAGGTGGTGTTTTGCTGTTTCGGCTGTGTTTCGAAAAAGGTGTCTGGCTGCTGGTTTCTGGCTTTATTAGAGGCAGCAGCAGCAGTCAAAATTGGAGATCAAAATTGGACAAAATTGGCTTTCTAGTAGGGTTTCAGAAGGGACGTTTCGGCGTCCGGGGAACCTGTTATTGCGACTGATTTTGCGTAATTTTCGGCACGAAATTAGGTGGTGTTTTGCTGTTTCGGCTGTGTTTCGAAAAAGGTGTCTGGCTGCTGGTTTCTGGCTTTATTAGAGGCAGCAGCAGCAGTCAAAATTGGAGATCAAAATTGGACAAAATTGGCTTTCTAGTAGGGTTTCAGAAGGGACACCACCATCACTACCACCACCACCAGCAGCAGCAAAAGCGGTATTGGACACAGTGCAGGAACATAACGAACACCGTTAGGCTTGCTTCTTTCAAGTGCCATGCGCCATTGCTTCACCATGATGAGGAATATGCTAAGCAACAAACCGAAAAACACACGATGAATCTCAATGGATCGTCCCACAAAGACACTCTCACAACTCACAATACCTGGATTAAGTCCTCTCCAAAACATCTATCACCTCCATTGCTATGCACTTCTACACCTTTAGCGGCCGCGCCAGACCGAGCCCAAGCTTATTGGTTGGACAACGCTGCTTAGCAGGCAAGATTCCAACTTAAAGGCATTCAGTCGTAATCCAACAGATCATCTTCCTGGTATTAGCTTATGAGCTAGCCACATAAACCAAGCATCTGAACGAAATCTTCCTCCCGTACTAATTTCGATTATTACTGTCGCAAAATCAAGTTAAGATAACACTAACCTGTCGCACGCAATCTAAATCCAGCTCACGTTCCCTTTTGGCGGTGAACAATCTGGATACCCGGGGTCGGCGGCAGGGGCGGCAGCCCTTAAATATGTTCTGATGTGTTTTTGGTCAAACGGCCTTGACCATGTTTTTTGGTCATTACGGCTTTTAGAGTTGCTACGGCTTTGCGTTTTTTTTTCAAACAAATGTCGAAAAAATACGGTTTTGCTACGGGTAGGCCTACAATGCTATTTCGATTTGACCATGCCTTTTGGTCATTACGAGTAAAAACAACAATATTTGTCCACAAAAACTGAACATTACAACTTTTTCCCATAATGACCAGAAAATTTGGGGCATTGGGCTTTGCAGCTAGATCTATATCTATACTTCACGGATTGATGGGGGTTATACGGGTGTTTCTTAAAATGTGGGTACCCCAAATCATTCAAAATTCGAGCATTGAAACATATTGAAACCCATGGTGACGACTGGGGATCCTTCTTTTTTTAGGACACCATACCCATAGGATCCATGTATGCTATATATGGTAACATTTACCATCAATATACCCCCAATGTTAGCATATATATATATACCAGCACCATGGATCCGTCATGGGATAAACCAACACACCCAACTCGGGGGCAGCTCCAAGTTTCGAGTTTGGGTACCTCAAAGGATGGACACGAAGCAGGCCGCGAGAGCATTGGGACCCTTGGGGCCGTGGCTGCGATGTAAAGCATCAACCTGAAACCACCCGCATATGCATATGGTTTCTACATGTTTACACAACCCATAACAATGGTAAACTTGGGGATGGTTTACTACTGCTTTACTAGTATTACAACGAATGGCTGTCTCTGTCTCGGCTTGAAACAGGTTCCAAGCGATACCAAGCGTGCCGTTCCAGGCATCCCTTGCTGCCTTGGATTTCGTATCTCCCGGAAAGGGGCCAGCCTGGTTGTCTTGATGACCACTGCCGGTTTCCGCAGCACAAGAAACAGTGAGCGAGTTTTGTTTCGGCTGGAGGTGAAGCCTAACCTCATGTGAATGGAAGAGCTGGTCAACATTTGAGGCTCATGCTGTGTTTGTTCATCCAACAAGTCGGGCCATGGCCAATACTGAAGCCAGAATGGCTGCAGAATCGATCTGCGAGCCCATGGCCGTCCATGACATCCCATGGCCACTTGAAGGGACTATAAGAAAAACACAAAAATTGCAGCAGATGCCGCTTTTTTTTTGAATCAAATGGTGGATTCACCAGGAAATTCAGAAAATCATCGATTCAGCAAATTCAAGATCTCATCAACCATCGACCATCAACCATCAACCCACCAACCAACCATCAACCATCAAGCCACCAACTTTTCAAATGATATCTCCATACCCATAGGATCCATGTATGGTATATATGCTAACATTGGGGGTATATTGATGGTAAATGTTACCATATATATAGCATACATGGATCCTATGGGATACATCTCCATCTCTATGCTTTCTGATCACCCAGCTCCCAATGGCTCCCAATCCCTTGGATCCCTTGGCCTTGCCGGGGGTGATAGTCAGCGGCTCTGGTCTCTTCAAAGGAAGCTGGCGAAGATGTCACGGGTTGATCCGCCGAGCAAAAAGGACACCATTGAATTATAGGAAAAAACGCCAAAAGGATAGAAAAGTCGATCATCACGATATCAGTATGTATATATATAATTATAATTGTATATATAGATATATGTGTATAATTATATATATGTATGCATGTATAATTGTATATATATATATGTGTGTATGTTGGTAGGATTTTTGACTTTTCTATCTTTCTAAACTGGTTACTATAACATACTATGTATATATATATATATATGAACCAACATGGATGGATGATTTTACATTTAACAGTAAGCAACACTTGGGAGTGATTTGGGAATGTGGTGTTTCTCAAAAATTGGGAACCCCAAACCATTGGTTTCTCCCATAGCATTAGAAATCACCAACAGCTCAACGATGAGTTTGCTTCCCAAAAGGAAACCAGCGCCATCTTTGCTATGGGTTGAGATTGAGTACCTCTCACAATCTGGTTGGTGGTTTCAACCCCTCCGAAAAATATTAGTCAATGGGAAGGATGACATCCCATATATTATGGAAAATAATCCAAATGTTTGAAACCACCAATCAGATATTATGGAAAATCCCTTATAAATGGAGGTATGAATGGGAAAATCATCTATAAATGGACCATTTTCCATGGCTATGTTAAATAACGGATCACTAAACATCACCAAATCATGGACACTTCGATGCGTCCGATCTGACCTGCATCTTGGAGGCGACTTGTCGGATGCGATCAACCAACTCCTGCCACGAATGGATTGGGGATGGATCGGGGTTGAATTTTCCAGGGACATCCCAGGTTTAGAGAAAGGAAAACACGGCTTTGAACCTTCTAAGTGTTGCGCAACATCACGATTTTCTTGTATTTGTTCTCTTCAAACCAATATCTCTATGGAATGGATCTGGTAAGTGTTCCACTACGGAGATCTGTATAGTTTCTATCCCAAGAAGCACTGGCAGTTGGCACAACAATTGGTGGTGTCCTCTGCATGGCTCTTGGCAGTTAGAAGAAATCAAGATGGGTATCCTCTGGTAATTTAACATAGCTATTGAAAATGGTGATTTATAGTTGATTTACCCATTAGAAATTGTGATTTTCCATAGCTATGTTAGTCATTACCAGAGGGATCCAGAGGGTAGAACTCTCCATCATTTTCTCAGTGGAGAATGACTTGTTGCTGTTTTCAAAAACCCCGGAGTATCCACTCTCCAAACCTCCATAAATATCATGGCATCTTGGATCATCATCCCAGTTTTAGAGGAATATAACATGGCATATGTGGCAACATCAGAAAACTTACATCCCAAGCGTTTCATGGCTAAACTCCCCCAAATTGCTGGTGACTTTCCAGGTCTCCCTTAAGTTGTTGATACCAACGAATCCCATGTGGAAAGTGTTCAAAACCCGCAACGTCATTCCATTTTGCTGGTTGCTTAAAAATGGGCTTCCCAGTTACATAAATGATGATAATCACCAATTCATTGGATACTATCACCACATACAGCCACTGCCAATGAGTGACCTTGCAGAAGTTGAAGTCACTCTCCCAGGTTCCCAAGTTTGCATGACAGACACCTCCAAATTCCTCTTCAGCAACGCAGAGATTGGGACCGCTTCTTCTGCCTAAGAATGGCATGATATCACCCTTGTAGGTAAATCAACTAGGAATGGTCATTTTCATCCACTTTCCATAGCTGTGTTGGTTGATGTTGGTTGGAGGCTATCAAAAGTTCAACACTTGGGCAGTGTTCAAAGCAGTGTGATTCCATTGTGCTGCATCAGAACGGAATGTCTTGGAGCCATTCATCCCAAAAGGCGGTGCCCCCTTAGCGAACTTCGATATCCCTAAGCTAACAGTTGGAATTATGGTAGATATATTCTGGGTATTTAATGACTGGTTGGTGGTTTAACAGTTTCAACCCCTCTGAAAAAAATAGTCAGTTGGGATGATTATTCCCAATATATGGAACAATAAAAAATGATCCAAACCACCAGCCAGATGATGATGATGATGATGATGATGATGATGATGATGATAACTCAACAACCTGAAATATATCAGGTGTTTTTTGGTGAGTTACCCCTCCGAACAATCATTCCAGTGACATCGCGGTGAGGTCGTTGTAATTTATCCAAATCTAGTCAGATGAGTGAAACACAGTTAGCTAAGTTGGCTTTTGATTATTCGATTCGATATCTACCTGCTATGTTAATTTCCAGTTGTATCCCATGAACATTCCACATCATTCCACTACAACACAATTTTCTCACAGTCAAATCATCAAATCCGCATTTTTGATGGTTGAGTCACAAAAAGGGATGGAAGAAACTGAAGAAATCCCCCCCCAAAAAAATGGGATAAACCACCTATCAACTGGTGCAGGACTTCTTCCACCACCAGAGTGTGCCTGGGGTGCCCCACTTGCTGGGTCCAGTCCACGTCTACGAGGCCGTGCTCATACAACAGCTGACCTCACATGCACCAACAATACACCACTCCGGCTTTTTGGGTTTTCTGAGCTACAGAAAATGTGGGAACCATCAAAACAATGGTTTATGATGGATGTTTATGCTTCAACCATCGAAAAGTGGGAATTTACATGAATTTACCCATGAATCACAAGAATAGTTCGGATGTGAGTCCAGTATACTGGATATATATTTTTAGATATGCATTTATACATAGAGCAAATTTGATATGATACTTTGGTGTGTCCAAAACTGGGGTATCTCCGCACAATTGGAGACATGATCTTTGAGTGGATGCTATGGGGGGATATGACCCAAAACTTGGAGTTTCAGGGCCGAAACCATCCGAAATCCACATATCATTCAGATCAGTATGGGTCAAGATAAACTCACCCCCAACCATGGATAGTTACTACTTAAATTGACCAAATCTACAGTTTTCTGGGCCTTAAATAATTTGACCGTACTTGACTCATATGCATATGTGCAGATTGCTGCAGCTGAACTTCTCATTTCCAGATATGTACAGATAAGCGTAGGTTGTCGATAATCAATACCCCAATGGTTCGTTGGTCCATAAACACCTCTAAGAGTCATTGGGGACAATCCTTCATTTTTTTTTGGATTGAACATTGCAAAAAAAAAAGAAACCACCACCCATGACATCATGATTGGGTACAGTATATGTTTCATCATATCCCCATGACATCCCCAAAAAACAGTATCAATTCATCATGTACGTTCCCTAATGTGGTAAACCCGCCATAAACCATCCCCAAGTCATCACCAAAGTGAATGGGTGCTATGTTTACCATCCCCAAGTTTCTAGTTGTTTATGTCATTGGGTTTCCCACATTGCTATAGAATCCTATAGATATATCTATCATAAACCATACTTAACCTAGTTATAAAGCATAGATACTTTTGAACCACAGTTCTAGACCATAGTTAACCATGGTTCGTTGATATGCCCATATTATCCCATTAGAATTACCATTTAAATATAGTCAATATGGTCTACTGGGATGTCAACCAAGGTTCATTGATACTTGATAATTCCACAGATATGAAAATTTACCCTCTGGTAATTTAACGTAACTATGGAAAATCACCATTTTCACTGGGAAAATCCACTATAAATGGCGATTTTCAATAGCTATGTTAGTTTACCAGAGGGTATACCCTTTTAAATCTGTTATGAACATCCTGAAGCTGACCCCCCAAAAATCAGCTCAGGTGTGCCAACACTGGCGCCGCAGCTCAGCGCGGGTCAGCTCCAAGTGACAACTTGGACGGGAAACCGTTGGAACTGGCATTCCCTTCTGGTACTTTTTCGAATGGGGTCAAAATACTATCAAAATATATCAAATATATGGATTGAACAAACAAAGTTCTAGGAATAAACATGAATTAACCAACAATACTGGCGACTTCACCATCCAAAATTGTACTTTAAAATCAAAAATGGTGACTTAATGATAACCAAGACTAAAGGAACACCATATCTAGAATTGTTGATATGCCATTTATCCAGGAAAAAAAAAGGATTTGACCACCAAAAACGAGTTTCGACAGCAGCAATTAGGGTTTACGGTTGATTCATTATAGGGAAGCAGATTGAAATCATAGTGAGAATAAACATAGGAGTACTGAGGTTTATTTCGCGGATATACCTATAGTTAGATGGAGAAAATACAAGAGCCAATTCGTGGTTTGCAAGAAAGCAACCATGTCTCAGAATAGGGGATTCCCCAAAACTGCCATTCAACAATGGGAACAATGGTGATAGACAATCAAGTTTAATGTTTTTTATTATTTTTCTTAGGATATACGTGTATATATTAAATCCTAGATATATCATAGAACTAAAGGCATATTATGGCATATTATCATATATATATATACATATTACGTGCAACTATATTTGTACAAATTGTATGTAATATATTGGATGTAAAGTGTATTGATTAAAATCTCTAATACTATCCAATATCTAGTCATTCACCAAGTTCGAATAGAACCGTGGCCAATCTTCGTGGACGATACGCCGCATGTCTTATCTTTTGCTGCTTAGTATATGTGTATTACATATATATATATATAATATTATATAATATATTTATACATGTACATATTTCTTCATATACGTGGATAATGCAATATAGAGTATATATGTAGATCACTATAGATCCCCATAACTACAAAAAACTACCCTCTGGTAATCAAACCAGGCTAGATTTGTTTCCCATTTACATGCTCATTCAGTTCAGGGATTTCTCAGCTACTTGTAGCTAGCTGATTATCGAACAGTACCCCAGTATAATATAATACAATATAATATAATATAATATATTATAATATAATATAATATAATATAATATATATATATATATGAGTTCCCGTCAAAATCCTTTACATCTCAGTAATTACCATTATCATGGTTATCGCTTTTGGGGAGGATATCACTTTCCGGTGTTTTGTGCCATTGTCGCTTTTGGAGGGGGCCATATCGCTTTACAGTGTTTCGTGCACATCTGACAAAAGTGCTTCTGCAATACTACAGTGGTTTTGACCCTTTTTGACCGTGACTCATAATTTATTATATTAAAGTTCTATCATCATATCCTATGATATCCATATAGTATATCCCAGCTTACCATCATTGTTCATGGTTATATAAATCATAGTCAAATCCCATGTTTGATGACTTGCCCAGCGGGGTTCAATGCTAACTTCGCGACTCCGGCAGGTCAATCTTGTTCAGTGCAAAGACCACAGGTACCTGTCAGCAGGGGCAGAGCTCAGCGGGTCTGGGTGATGTATCTGGCTGGGTTGCACTAATTCACCAACCTGAAACAGTTGGGTCCCCCCCAATTCACCCTTTCTTGGTTTGACTTTGATTCTGGGGGACCATTCAACAGTTGGCTGGTTGTCCGCAGCATGCCACACAAAATAGTTTGTGAATGCTTCTGACGTCAACCCAAGACCCAGGATGATCAATACACACTGGGTGGTTCATTTGGGGGTCATCCTCAGAAAAGTGAAAGCCATGGGAATTAGACACAAAATGATGTCGAGTTCCCAGGGTCACCATCAACCGACACTGGATCTGGGAAATTCTGATGGCTGTCATAACTGGGTTAACCCAGTGATTGCCATGTACCATCTGGTTATTTAACATAGCCATGGAAAAACAATCCACCCATTTTTCATAGGTAAACCAACGAACTAAATGGGCCATGGCTTCCATGGCTATGTTAAATAACCATAGGGTAGAAAAAAGGGGTCCCAATCCACCATTTTGCAACCTAGCCATGAGGTTCATTAGCTAAGTGATGTTTGATGTTTTTTTGATGCTTCCATCAGGTAAATCATGAGAACAAAACAAGTTAAACTATATAATACCAATATTCGCAATTGCCCATCATATAGATCAACTACTTACTGTATCATATAGATATTTAACCATATATCTAAATCATCTGAAAACATCACCCAAAAATGGAAATGTCCCAGGCCCTGAGCAATGCACCTTCCACCTGGATGCATGCATCAGCACCTGCCAATCCAACAAAGTGCGGCCTTGAAATTGTCTGAAGACATGTGGCGATTAATTGGTTAGTCCAATCTCATATTCTACTAGGTGTATGGAAGACACATCGAACTAACTGATAACTGGGGCCCAACCACCTTGGAAGGAAAATGAGTGCCTCAAAATGAGTCAAACATGATTCTGAAGACCAAGAAATGCTGAAACAGTTTGAAAATTAATGCCTCAAATCCTATTTTGAACCTCAAGAAACGACTAAATTTGAATACTGCACCATGCAAAATGCACCAAAATTGATTTTGAATCCTCCAAAAATGGCTCAAATTGAATATTGAGCCAAGCAGTGAGTTCTGACGGCACTTGCGTCATCGTCCATACAGGGGCTTCTCGAAGGCAGATAATGAGCTGGAAATTAGGTCAAGAAGAATTAGTATAGTTACAATGCTTCCCTCTTTGAAGCAATCATTTACCAGCAACCCTAGCCCCATTCTCCTGCATTGAAGTTGTTCCCATGCAAATTGCAATGAAATACTCCACATTATGATGTCCCGGTATTGTGTAGTGAGGTAAACCCAATGCCATAAACCATCCCCAATCGATTTTTATGACATTGGGTACGGTATATCCCAATATAAGGGATGATTGAAAAGGACCCCCAGTCAATGGATGGTATTCTGGGTCCAGAAAACGATCCACCTCCTCAGTTTGGAGTTCAGCACCACGCTCCACTGAAACGACCACCACGGCCACCTCCACAGAACGCAGAAAACCGAAAATCGTCAGACAATGGAATTCAGACAGGAGAATTCAGATTATAAAATAATCCAGAAATTCAATGAAATTGACAGATCGTAGAGAAATCTGCTAAAAGAGATATAAATTAGTTGTCTATTTTTGTTTGGAGGTGATATAAATGGATCTCAACAAATCGTGAAGCTTACCCAATGCCATCAGAGTCATGGTTGACCCCATACGCGTTCATAGTGACCCATGATTCAGCGGGCAGTTAAACAGTTTGGTGGAGAACGGCTTTGGACCCCAGCACGCCATGATTGATGACACCGGACGCTATGTGTTTTCAACTGTGGAATATGGTCAGGGTGGACCGTCTTATACCCATTTGATCATGTTGGCTGGAACTACCTATGTGACATGTTTCCTACAAATCGGTTTGTCTAAAGACATGGTACCCCAAAATATCATGGTTGATCATCATGTTTACCGAGGAAAATGCAAAAAAAATGGATACCATGTCTGGACGGACCCATACAATCCAAAAAGATCCAAAAAGGGGGCACGGACCTATTTGATAACCAGATATCCTATACTATGCTATGTTCCAATTACATCTAACTAACCAATGTGCTGTTGGTAACCCTATTTTTTAAACAAGTTTTGACACAAAATTTGAAACTGCAAAGTTGGCCATTTGATCCTGATCATGCATCATTTCCATGATTCATTGTTTTTTTTTGTCCTGTTCTCGGTCCAGGTGTACCGAGCATCCAACATCTGCTGCTGCCATGGTGCGTCCGCGCCTTGGACGTTGCCCATCATGGTCCATAGCTATTTTAAAGTTGTATGGTTGAGGATAAATTATGGCCTCTTAGTATAACAAATTCAACCATACTAAGAGGATATGTTGCAAAACTTGGTTGAAATAAATCTGGTTGAATCATGATTTATGGATATTTATGGTATTTTGTTTACTGATGTGTTTTTTTTTGTTGGGTGGATAACCTCTTGATTTATCGCCGCTTCAGCTTGCAGGTCTCCCCGCGACAATTCGAAGGCCTCATGGCCGGGCGTGTCCAAAAAGGTCCTGGGTGTGTCCAGCGGCGATTGGTCAAATCTGCCGGAAATCTTTGATTCGTGGCATTAGAAAAATTGGTTAATGTAGAATATTCTAGTGGTGAATGGTCATGGTACATGTTTACTGCTGTACATTACTAAAATATACGAAAATACAAGCTGGTTGGCTATGATTCTGTTGACCCATGGTTTGTATTAGCGACAAACCAGTTAATGATTAATACACATAATAGTTTGGTACTGGTAAAGCCAAGCCTCCTCAAAATGAAAAAGTTGATATACTCAAAAAAAGGTAATCCTCAACATACTTAACATTGACCCATTCTCGCATTAACCCCAGTGATTGTGACTGGGTGGTTAGGCTGCATTAGCTATTTTGGCATGGAATATGATCGGCCCTGGAATATGGGTAAGAAATCGTTCAAAATTTCTTGAAAAACGAAAAAATTGAAGACGGAAAAACAAGGGTAAAGGTCAGGTTTGTCTGTAAATAGAGTAATTACAGGCGCTACCCCAAAATTCAACGGTTTATCATCATGTTCCACATTAATGTTGCATCCTGATTAGTAACTAAGTTCGCTATTGTGGCTAGAAATTTCCAGATTATGCAGTACCCCCTGATTATATAGATCTTCCGGTTCACTATTGTGGCATTTTTTTGGCAGACGATTTATTTTCGCAAAAATGACATAACAAAACTTAGCAGACTTAGCATGTGTTTCTGAAAGGAAATTGTATATCTCCCTTTCCCAAGAGATCCAATCTCTTATCAAACCCTTGTTGGGGAACAGTTTTTCCACAAATGTCCAAGGCACTGGACCATGAGAGCGTTCAATTCAGTTTGTTCCCAGGGTTCGCAATTGCAGCAAATATTTCCTGAGGTGATCCTGGAGCCAAGAGAAGAAAGAAACACCTTTTACAAAGGCAACATTGTCTTTCTCTTTCTATTCCTCTTTTTTTTGTTCCTCTCTCTCTCTCTTTATCTTTGTGAATTCTCTCTCTCTCTCTGTCTCTTTTTCTTTCTCTATCCATTTCTCTTTCTCTTCCCCTTCCTCTCGCTTTTCCTCTCTCTCTCTCTTTCTCTTTCTATTTCTCTTTCTCTCTTGTTTATCTTTCTATGTCTCTCTTGTTTATCTTTCTCTTTCTCTTCCTCTTTATGGTTATCTTTCTCATTGTTACACCTTTAATAAAACTTGAGACGCAAAAGGCAACGCAATCATCATGCTGAACACACTCACTACAAGCACTACAAGCACCACCAGTACTACAAGTTCACAGGCAAAATATAGTCTTAATATGTCTTAATTAGAATTCATTTGTCGCCAATTAACAAATTATTACTTTAAAATATGTATGATCGTATTTTTCTGGGGAACAGCTTTTAAAAAACTCAACTTTAAAGAGGGTATAGCCCTTAAATAGCATTCGTTTGAGGGGGGCCCACAACACCTGAACTTCCAAGGCCCTAGCATTCGTTCTTCTTGGCGACCTTGGACCGATTGCTTCACCCTGAAAAAAAAATTGGACCATCATCCCAGCCGTGATGGCAAGTAACAATATTTACCATCTGGCTATTTAACATAGCCATGGAAAATCACCATTTTTCATAGGTAAACCATCTATAAATGGGCCATTTTCCATGGCTACGTTAAATAACCAGAGGGTACAATATTTGAAACGACAATGAAACCACAAGCCAGAAACAGTTATTTATTGTCATCCCAGGATATCCTAGGACAATCAACAAACAACGAAGACGGGTGAATCTACCGAGATCAAGTAGTTCAAACCTCGTTCCACAGGCAGTAAATACCAAGGTTGCTATAAAATCAGCCGAAACTAAACTTGGGCGTACAGTAATGTTGATGGCCTAAGTTTTGATGCAGTGCACAAAAACATCTTTGGCCGCTTCGGAGATGTGAGGATGTACAGTTAATTTATCTCCATTTAAACAAATCTCAAGGCGCAAAGTGGTACCCAATGGTCACCATCCATTAACCAGGCCGGGAACCCATGTCCCGGTCGCCTCCATCTTCCTGCCAGGATCTAGGGATTGGACGGGATCTGAACCAGGGACAGTGTTGACAGCAGAGTGCAACCAGGTAACAAATAACATGGGATATCATATGGTATATGGTGATATGGTATCTGGTGATATGGTATCTGGTGATATGGTATCTGGTGATATGGTATATGGTGATATGGTCTTCAACAAATCGAAGACCACTTGAATTGCCATGCTTTTAGTACATCTTGCCATGCCAGCAGATTGTTATTTCTGTCAGAAACGACTGTTCATTTACCCTCTGGAAATTTAACATAGCTATGGAAAATCACCATTTTTAATGGGAAAACTCACTATAAATGGCCATTTTCAATAGCTATGTTAAATTACCAGAGGGTAACATCAATAGAAAGAAGCATAGTTTCTCCTAGATACGATCCATAAAAGGTGATGTTCATTGACCTTCCATACCTACCAGCTGGTTATGACTAACACTTTGCCATGAAAAAAATCCACCCATTTTTAATAGGTGAACCATCTATAAATGGGCCATGTCCCATGGCGATGTTAAATCCCCAGAGGGTATGTTCATGTACCGGAGGGTAAGCCAACTACTGCTGGGGTAAATTTCATTGGAGCAACGGATCTAGCAGGCTATGCCAGGATTTGGAGGGTGCAAACCCATGGGTTTCTTGAAGTTTCTTGTAGTTAGTTTTCAAATTGAAACAATCCATTGATTCACTACCTGTACAGTAAGCATCATGAATCATGTTTATCCTTTTTTCCTGTTGAACGCTTCTGATCTCAAAGCAAAACTTGAACTGGAATTCCTTTCCGCTGGACGTGATTTACCCGCAGACATCCGTAGACCATATGGTACAGATACGCCAAGATATCCCAAGTGAATATTGTTGAATGATGTTTCATCATGTTTCATCTCATAGGAACGTATGATCTGGAGGTTTCCTTAAATGGGGGTACCCCCAAATCATCCATTTATAAATGGATTCTCCATCATAAACCATCCATTTTGGGGATCCCCATTTTAGGAAACCCCAATCTCAACATCCTCAAGGATGTCGAATCTTCCGATATCAGCTACTCGAAAAAATTGGGAGCATGGATCAGCCTTGAAGGTTGACAAAGGCACAGTGGCAAAACCTCAAAATGACACACATGTATCATTTATTTGATTTGCTATGGTTTGGTGATTGGCTTTACCATATAATTTACCATATATATATATATAATATATATATACCTCCTGGACATTCAGGGCACCTTTCACAATTGGTCAAAGGGAAACATGTTTTTGAGCATCACAGTTTATGGCCACGGACCCTCTGACAGACCATCCTCCATTTTTTCCGATTTTCCCGTGCTGTTTCTGGTGGGGTAGCTCGTGGTCACTGCTAGTGAGATTGGGCGATATACAATATATATATATATTTTTATTTACCCACATTTTTTTCGGACAGCTTTTCTTGGCAGCTTCCACTCACATTTTTAACGCCTGATCTGTGTCTGTCAACGTCGAACACCAAGTCCTCTGCCGCAACGGCAGGATGATCTGTGCGGCTGGCCTGGCCTCGTCCTTTTGAAGATGGGCCGCTGTGGGGTATGTTTGGTCTGAATTTACCTATATAGTTAACGCATAAACACACTGTGTATGTATATATATATACATATATATATATATGTGTGTGTGTGTGTCTACATGTATATATATATATATGTGAATAGATGATAATATATATATATATATATGAATAGATTATATTATATAATATATATATATAATACATATATATAATATATATATATATATAATATGTGTAATATATATATATTATATATAGATATGTATAATGTATACATATATATATATATGCTATTTGTATATATATATATGCAATGTGTATAATGTATATAATTATATATAATATGTATGTATGTATATATATATATATACACATACAATTCCGTACATATATTAATCATACATATAATATATATATATATACATACAGGTATACATACCTATTGTAAAGTGGATTCACGGGGTTGTTGAACATGATGGTGATCTCTCTATTCATGGACCAAACCAGTTGGAAAAGGACATCATTGCATTCAACTACTCGTGGAGGGATTCACATATTGAAATATTTTTGGGCATAGACATACTGAATAAATTTTCATCCTCGATATGTGACGCCCCAGTTTTGACCATGGCTCATTGAAGATACTTGCAGTCGATGCCACATCGGGGGGTGTGAGCTTGGCTTTGGGCCCAGGCGAGCTTGATGTTTGCCGCCAAGGACGTTTCTCGCGAAACGAACTTTTACCCGGCAACACACCGCAGGTTTCCGGAAATCAGGTGGAGCAGAATGGATGGCCAATAGCTTCCAGCATCGATTCTTACACCATCCCAACACAAAATTCATGGGCTTTTCATCACTTGATTCCCGGGAACCTTTCTCATGAATAAGAACCTCATGAAAGATAATTATTATGAGGTTTTCGCTCCATCAAAGGAAGCTCCGTGGTGAAGAACAAAAAGCACCACCCCTTGGATAATCCTGTCGAAGCCAAACATCACCAAGCTACTGCTTTGGAGGCCTCTGTTGAACCAAGAAATGAACTCATGCCAGCTTCATGCTACTGGAACAAAGCTACCTCCTTTGGGTGATGTCAACCCACCCGGAAAAAAAAAGATCTTCGACCATCGGTTCAGGTCCAAGAGATGATGATTATGTATCAAATAGCTATGGAAAACACTAGTCGCCTCCGTTTCCCTTTCATAGATCAATCCTTCAATCATCAACCAAAAAACAACATGGCATCAACATGACCTCGAAGCTTCCTCTGCATGGAGCCAACAATTATCAGCAACAGCCGGAGCAAATCTTCGCCCTACATTGCAGGGTTACTTGAAGGTCCAAAACTGAGTCCTCGAGCATTCAGCCAGCTGTAGGGACCGTCCCAAAACTGACATATTTGGGGTCTATGATTTCATGTTTTGCTTATAAATGTCCCATGGATTGCTCCTTTGCGGGGGCAAGCGCCCGATTTGAACTAATCAAGCGATTGCTACATCAGATGTACCATGGGGGAATCCCAAGTCAAGATCCGTCAAGTGGTTTTCCATGGTTTTCCGCAAGTGGTTTTCCAAAACTCAAAAAATCAAAGCATGGCAAGTTGTCTTATCCCACAGGATCCATGTATGGTATATATGCTAACATTGGGGGTATATTGATGGTAAATGTTACCATATATATCCATATATAGCATACATGGATCCTATGGGTTATGGGAGCCCAGTCCACTAGTTGGTGACGGGGGTCCTCGTGGTCCACAGTCTGTCTCTTTAGGAGCCAAGAGTCATACTCAGCCAATCGATGCCAATCAAGGGGACTGGCAATCACCGAAAACCTTGGGAATGTTGCCATAGAACGCCTTTAAGAACTCTTTGGCGACTAAAGTTACCAATGTGCAAACATGTCAACATGTCAACATATCTCCCTTTTCCGTACCCTTCAAAGTTCTTTTGATTCACAACGGTTCCCATTAGCAATTTGAGTTCCTCAATCACTGGCGAAAGCTCCCTGCTGTTGGTTTCGTAGCAGAGCTGCCCACTGCTCGAGCCCGATTTTGTTGGGGAAAATCAACAGGAATCCGTGTTTTGCTTCAAATGTTTGTTGCTTTGATATGTTTTGATGCAATTTTAAAACTAAGGCCAAAGGCTTTCCTGAGTTTTTTCTGAAAAATTCTAGGAACATAGGTACCGACTGGATCCATGGTACTATCTGATTTACCTGCATACATAAGGCTATTTGGGTGGTAAATGCAGGCAAGATCAAGCAAGTATTCCGTAGATCGCTTATGTATAATATTTACGGAGTTTTCCAAAAAAAATGGGGGGTACTACCCCAGTCATCCAAAAAAATAGATGGATTTTCCATGATTTTCCAAGCATCCATTTGTGGGTATCCCCAAGTCGGCGGATTTTATGTCCGGTTCAAAAGGGCATAAAAAGGACGAAAAACTGAAACCATCAACCACTGCATATCTCAGCCAGCCCGAGATAGCCCGGGTAAATGATAATAATTCACCAACCGAAAGAGTTGGGTCATCTTGGGATACGTACCTTCCTTGCGCCTTCATAGCACAATGACAAGTCGCTGACACCATCGGACATCTTGAGCTGGACGCAGCTACACATTTGCAAGGCACAGTCACGGTAGCATCAGCGAACCGGCTGCAGACGCTGAGTGAAGGTCGATGAATCACTTATTTACTTCATGTGTTTGAAGGAATTCAATGAATTACTTGAAATTAAGTTCCCAAATGGTTGGTGAACAAATGAATCTGGCTAAAGCATGATTAAAACACCAGTAGTCCAGCCAATGGTTCAGCTTCTTCTCAGGCACGTTTTTCGCTGACAAAAGATTTGTCGAACTGTCGAACTGTCGAGGCTTTCTGCGCCGCGGCGGCGGTGTCACATTGGGAACGGTCGTGGACATTTCGCTGGTGACGCATTGAGACCATCTCAGATCATACATCTGCGGGGATGCAGTGTTTACCTACATTTCATGGGATTAGTAAAAACTCATCACCAATTTTGATGTATATAGGTAATTCATGGTAATTCCAGAATCCTGAAGTTGCTTCAAACATCTACAGGAACTCCCATAGTTTCAGTGGTTTTTCCTATCGATTTGCCTCAAACCAAGTGACGTCACAGGGGTTTTTTGATCTTCCCAAGAGTTGGCCGATCTTTTCCGGTCTTAACAACTCACCTCCTCTACACCACCAGTTGTGGCGATTTCTGAAAGTTGCGACTGCAAAAATTGGATCATTGAATATCATCTTGATACTATAAATGATGTCATATAAAACATAATTTAGATTGATTTAGATCAACATCATGTTCATATCATATCATATCAGAAATTCACCAATTTTCAAATGCGATTTTGCCCAGAAAATCCCCATGAATGGATGGGATGT